CTCATTAAAATCAGATATTTACTATGACAAGATAACTTTTTTTATGAAACATCTGAAGACCCAGATATCTAAAACAGTTTTGCTTCTGTTTACTCAACTCAAGTTCTGAATGCTTTGATTACTCAAAGTCATACCAAGAATTTAGTAACCTTGATAATAAATGGCTGACTAGAATGTTCACATGAACAGGTTGACAGACCCACATGGAGAAAGATGGTATAGTTATCGCGAATAAGGTGTAATGAGAGAGAGAGAGAGTTTATGGCCTCATGGCCCAGAGTACAAAAAATACATAATTGTTTGTTTGTGCGCATTCAATACATATACATAAATATAGTACATCAATAAGTAGCAGTCAAACAGGTAGATTTCTCTTCAGATAGACTGCTAGACTTTTAATAACATTCACATTTTTGGTGCATAACTGCTTAAACTTAAAGACAGATGGATGTATATGATAATATCCATTTAAATGACACTTGATACATATTGCTATAGTATTATCGACATTGTCTTTATTGAAACGCAACTGTTGGAATAACGTGTAATGGGCCTATTGTAACTTACATAAAGATGGTCTGGCTGTGTTATCAAGTGATAAAGGACCCAGTACCAAAGGGCAAAACCAACTATTTCAGCTTTTATCATTGTTTTCCTGGAGGCTGGAGCAGCTACAGTTCTGTAGACCCATCTGAAAATGAAAGAAATAATTATGAATTCTTTTATTAAAGTAAGGCCAGAAATGCTTGGAAAATGCTTTTTGACTTCAATATCAATATGATGAATTTGACACAAGATAAAAGCATATATGATACATGTACGACTCTACCTAGTTGGAAATTAAAGCTCAGATGAAAAAATGCACTTGAGGGGTGACTTCACAGGAGGAAATTTTGACGTTTTAACAACATTCGTAATTATTCTAAGTACAAACTGTAGTTTTGAAATACAGACTATAATTATTCATATAGCCTCACCTAATTAAATTACTAAAATGATTGTAACAAGTTCTGTTTTTTAACATCTATATGTGAAAAAGATGGAACTGTTGTAGTAGTTAAATTCAAAATAATTACGTAAAAAAGTCTTAATTCAAATCGTATAATAATCTTGTTCACCCATAGATGTTTCACTTCGTGTATGAACATTCAACTGGCAACATGCTTGATATCTCTGCAGAACAATTAATTTCAAATTTATTCCAGTATTTCATACTGGAGAAACAAAGGGGGAAACCTCTCGTCAGCTATGACAGGGTTTACTATAGAATGTGTAAAGCCCTTAATTTGACATATAGTCAGGTTTACAAAGTTGTAAACAAATCAGTTACCTCAGGGGTCGTGTCAAAATCAAAACCAGGTAGGAAACACAAACTGGATAGCTTTGATAAGGGTGTCATACGCCGGTGCAGTTTATAAACTGTATAAACGCAAAATCCCCGTGTGTGCTGTGTGCTAAGATACAATAAATGTCCTGGTGTAATTCCGCTAGAGTCCTCCATCAGCAGTGATACTGACACTTGATATTTTGAGATGGTCCCTGACATGCACTGCCCGTGAGTTACATAACGCTGTCACCCTGTCTGCCTGCCAGGTGGGTCACAGTATAGTTTGTTTCTTAGAAGTGTTTCTACCATGGATTTTTTTCTAAGTTTTTCGATATTTTACGAGTAATCATTATGATTAGGGAATGGTACATCGTGATTACTCATATGCCATATTAGGTCGAGGTGGTATGAATGATTATATATGAGTTTTGAATCTGAAATATCAACCATTGTCAAATAATTGCCAAAAAGCATTTTCCAAGCATTTCTGGCCTTACTTTAGTATCCTTACTTTGTCAGCTTACTGACAGGATTAACCTCTTTGGTCATGTGGACAAGGCATCCGACTTCAGATCAGATGGGCACTCGGAAATTTCATGGCCACTACATGGGGCCCTAATGCCTGAGCATGTTCATATTAAATTTGAGCCAAATGAGTCTCAGAAACCTGCTATGCAGCCGCGACATGCCTTCTGTTGAATGGGAAGTATGTAGCAGGGTGTGGAGTCATCTCACAGATGACATGCTTACCATGTCAGCTTGCTGACGGGTTAACCTCTTTGGCCATGTGGACAAGGCATCAGACTTTGAATCATCAGGTCAGTGGTTCGAATCCCAGCATGGGACTCAGAAATTTTATGGCTGCTACATATGTTTTACCACAAAACAAAACTGTTATTACAAGTATATCTAGTTCCATGAAACATAGTACCCTGTTGACAAATAGCTTTGTGATAAATGTCATTTGGATAATCACACTTGGCAATAGTGTTGGGAATTGGTTAAAATCTCATAATTGATGATTGGTTCATAACCACCGATCAATCATCGAAAATAATTGGTTAGCGTCATTTATGAAATTTGTTAATGCACAAAAAAATAAGGGAAAAAAACATGTAGTTATTTGGGGGATTTTGGCAAATTTCACATCTTTAAAGGATGACTAGTATGTTAGGAACATAAATTTCTTGATGTCTTTAAGATAAATTCAATCATGACTTGGAACGAGCTTGTAGTGCTTATGAAATGTAACAGACAAAACCAACCTTGTGAAAAATATTGTTGATGAAAACAAGTGTTCCAGAATTGTTTGTGTTTGATTATGAGAAAACATGATCGATTGCTTGGTTGTTTAGTCACTGCGACCAATCTTCGATTATTTCAATTAATCGGATCACCACTATCGGTACTTGGCAACACAATGTGAATAACAGATTTAACAGAGTTTTACACAGACTCTAAAAAATGGGAGTCATGGTGACTCACAATATTTATTTTTGGGAGTCATTTTCAATATTTGGGAGTCATGAAAATTTAATATTTCTTTGTGTTAATCATTATTTTTGTGTTAATCTTAGTACGTAACTGTGTATGTCACACAACCAAATGAAACTACAGCATTGTTCAAATCAAACAGCCAGGATTACTGTCTCCTCTGAGTTCTCTGGAACAATCTGACAGCTCTGTGAAAGTCAAACTATCATCGAACAATATCATTTTTTGCTTATCAAATCGATTTTATTGAACTGAATTGTGAGGGCCACCTATAAAATTTGTGTCAAGCTTGACTCGCATGATAATATTTTGAGAGTCGTTAACAAAATTGTTGCGTCAAATACGCAGGAATCACGCGTCATGTAAAACCCTGATTTAACAATACATCAAGTAGCCTGTGACCTCAAAAGAATTTGGCAATCACTGCCAAGTGAATACTTTTCAAATGAAGCATACAACTTTATGGATGACAACTTCTTGTTTATTGCATAGAGTGATGTTTCAATGTAGATTGTTACACAATTTTAACTTTTAGCTTGATAATGGGGTAAGAATCAATCTACATCAAAACGTCACTCTATGCAATAAACAAGAAGTTGTCATCCATAAAGTTTTATGTTTCATTTGTGACTCGCCAACTTCTAGAAAGCCGATCAAACAAAGAATATTTTTCGAGAATAGTGAGTGAGTTTGGTTTTACGCCGCTGTTTAGCAATATTCCATCAATATCACGGTGGGATTTTCGAGAATAGAACTATGACATTTATGTCAGATACAGGGTTTAACATAGATCTTCGAAACTGGGAGGCCTGGGGACTCAGGGCATATTTTTTTAAAGTCCATTTCCAAAATTGGGAATCCATCAATTTGCATGAAATCAATGATCATGGGTGCTTCCCATTTGATAATGATTATGTTATAATATGTGTTACTTTCAATGTCATTAGAATAATGATTGGAAACAGAATGTTTACATTGTAATATGGGATATCATTACAAACTCAGAAAGTTCTTTCCCAGAAACAAATTATATTACGTCCATAAGGACACACTGGATTTTAGTTTGGGGGTCCTACATAAAATTTCTGTGTCCAATACGCAGGAATCACGCATCCCGTAAAACCCTGCATATATCACATGATTGTGATAAGAACACTGATTTGTTGTTGTTAACATTTAAACTTATTCAAAGCTGCATAGAGCACTAACAATAGTAACATATTTCAATATCAGTGAGTATGGTTTTATGCCACTTTAAGCAATATTCAGCAATATCACAGCTGGGGACACCAGAAATATGATTCACACATTGTGCTCAAGGGAATTGAACCCATCCTTTTGGTGTAACAAGTGAATGCTCTAGCTATTCGGTTACCCCAATTTCAATATGATGATATGACATGCACGTTGTTACTGAACCTAAACACGTACCCATTCCGTTCCTGTTATGTTAAATGATCTGCTTATACAAGCAAAGTTGTCTGGGTGCCCATCCACAGAGGCTGTTAAATATATTTTATCGCATGTGGTCATGATAATCTTCCAAAACTAATTAAAGAATTATTTAATTTATTATGCCACAAAATTTGTGCTCAAGCAATGTTTTCACAATGCAAACGATGGTTGAATCTTGCCAAATCAATACATATAGATGGATATATGTTGTACATGAGAAAGAAGTTTATTAAAACGCATCATTGACATGAACCACAAACTTATCCGGATCATATGTTCCTAAAGGAACAGTTTAACGCTAACGACTAGTGTGCACGAAATCTGGTGGTCTGTGAGTTTCAGATAAAGTTTAATGGTTTGCTTAGTATGGATAAATTTTATTATTCATCGTTTCATAACTTACTGGCCCCCGTGTCGAACTGGAACGATCTGTTTACATGCTGTCGATTTAAAGACGGCACCCGCCGTCCTTAATCGCGACAAAAATACATGACTTTCCCAACGAAATGTTGAAGGGGAAATGGCGTCTGTCAAGGTCAAGGTGAAAGAAAATATCTCGATCATGATTTTTTACATTTAAACTAATAGAAGACAATTCATATTAATTTACTACTCTACTAAATCCTCATTCGAAATTTTCCAAGCACAAAATATTTCAATCGTCATATTTTAAATCAATATTTCAGCCACAAAAGCGCCCTCTATGATTGTCCAAGATGGCGTCCTTAGCGACAGGTGCCCGTTGTAAATAGTGACAGTTTACTTGACAATTGAGTGCGAGATGGGAGTAACCGGCTGGTGGCTTTGACAACGTCGTGTGAGTTGAAACATTTATCTGTGTCTGTATTATCACGTAACAAGTATCTGTCTCTTAATTGGTTTGTTTGATGTTAGTTTGTCTTCAGAAACTATCATTTTGTTGGCATATGCCTGTTTGAGACTGAAAACTCAACTCGAACAGCATTGAACCATGCATGTTAAGTCTGGGACATAATTACCGATAGGAGATTAATTTCGGCGATACGGGTATGTAAATAACAATTATTTTGAATTTACATATGAAGGATTTGATTAAATATTATCATATGTTTTTGTGAAATTAATATGAAATATGACCATAAGGTCACTATGACATAAACAGTATCTCTTTTGTTCAACTGGAGAATTTTCATCAGATGATATTTGCATGATGAGCTTCCATGACCAGTTACTGTTAGTTAACAGCAGTGCAAAATGTTACGTTAATATATATGAGAGAGAACCTTACACAAAATCATTTCTGTGTGTCTGAATTCCAAGTCTTGTAAAATTTCATCTTAATCTAGTCCATTTGTTAAGACTAAATATGCTCAACAAAGACTGAACAAATTAGTAATTACCAAAGCATAAGTTCAGGCCAGTAGGTTCAAACATATTTTGCATAATGTTAATTAATTTTATGATTAACAATCATCATCAGCTGATCGCTTGAGTCACAATCTGAGATGTTGTATTTATTCTTTCATGTGTTCAATGAATAATTACAGTGTTGACATCATTTGTAATGTCCAACTCGTCACATAACCTACTTTTAATGAAACTGAGTTTTTGTTCATCTTCAGAAACTATTAACTCTTCAACACACAAGACTCTCAAAGCATATATTAGGATTTTACCTATGTTTCTTAAAGTGGAACGTCATCATGGTCAAGAGGATTCCAATGTTTCATTTTCAAAGTCAACCCATATTACACAGTGATGCAGAATTTGTGATTTTTCGACATGATGTGTTATTACTTATAATGAATAATTACAGTTGTAACTTAAGAACATTTCATTAGTAATCTTTGTCTTTTTGACTTATTAATCAACTGATTATTTTAGTTTATGAATTTCAAGTAGAGCATATTATTTTTTATGCTCATGTCCGGTACAGCTGTTACGATTCACTAGTGTATTTGGTGACTCAAACTGTGTCTCTTCATGTATTCAATCTGTTATTTGCATGTACTAGAATAAATTTGTTTACGAATTTGTTTTGAAAAGAGATTTTTGCACTTGGAACTCAATGGTTATTTATAATGTTTATCAAAGTAAAATATGCAAAATGGAATGTACAAAAGCCATGCAGTTGTGTAACCTGTGTGAGTTTGCCAAGGCCCCTTACGACCGAACAAAATATTAGCAAGAGAGACATTGTTGCATTACTAAAAATATCACAAACATTTTTTAGCATTAGCAATTACAACATGCACGAGAAATATTTGGTAGTTTAATTCCTTCAATTCCTGCATATACTAACATTTTGTTGGGTTTTGTTAGCTTAGCAAATAACAGTCCATAATTTATAACACTGAAGTATACTGAAAATGGTGTTAATAACCATGTTTATGCTTATAAACGGGAATGTTTTTAGAACAGATTGTGTGAAACCCAAATATGTGCTAATATATATATTTATATATTTTTGTGTATATGTGTGTTTCCTCTCTGTTTGTGTGTTTCTTTTGTGTGTGTTTGTTGTGTATATGCACATGTTTTAGATTGGATAAGTATATACAGTGGACTCACTCTAAACCGACCTCCCTCTAATCCAACATTCCCTGTAAACCGACATATTTATTTGGTCCCAAATTTGTCCCTATTTAATATGATAAGAAACTCCCTCCAATCCAACATCCCTCTTAGTAATTCCGAATTCTGACACTCTAATCCAATATATAATGCTTATTTTTAAGTTTAGATTAAACTGAACATTTTAACATATTTGCTAATTGTGATTTTTCTTCAACTCTACAGTTCCATTAGACAAGTATATAACCATGGCAAATGTGCCAGAAAAACAAGAAACCGAGGCAGTCGCTGCCCCTAAGGAACCTCGTCTGATGCCATCAGCGCCTCCAGGACCAAATCTTCCAACAATGTTTGGAGAAATCCTGGAAACCAGTGTGACATTTTGTGTGGATACTTCCGGCAGCATGTACAACTCCTTGCATGTCGTACAGGAACAGTTGATCGAGACTCTTTATAAACATGCTCATCGTGACCGAGACACTCTGTTCAACATCATAGAATTCAACACAGAAGTGACACAGTGGGCGGACAAGATGGTGAAATGTACGCCTGAGACTGTTGCCGTTGCCGCAGAGTGGATTAACAAGTTATCAGCAAAAACAGGAACAAATACCCAGGATGCTCTTCTTACTGCCTTCAGCGTTCCGAAGTGTCGTGCTGTGTATTTAGTTACTGACGGTCTGCCGGATCAGCAAACCGAGGACATTTTGGACCATGTTGCCTATGTAAATGAGAACCGACCCGTCCACTGCATCTATATCTGTGAAAACAAAGCCGACGAAGCCGCAACAGAATTTCTCGAAGATCTGTCCGTTGAAACTTATGGATCTTTCCACATTGTTACCATGACGACTCACGGATGCGTCGAGCGCATTACCCCTGTATACCGATCAGATCACGCCCAAGAACGACTTATAAGAACTGTGGAGGATCATGTTCGACTCAATGTGAAAACATGCAGCGTGACAACAACGTTGAATGCAGATCCAGAAGATGCGCTTGGTCTACCCAGGGTCTCTGCTCTCAACCAGTGGTCCTACCCACCTTACTGTCATCCTTTTCTTGGACCGTTTCCAATGCGGTACTACTACCCATATTACTGGAGCCGCTACCGCCCGGCAAAGGCGTGGTTGAAGGCTCAGGACTCTTTGTTTGACCCCCTGGATCTGTCGCCTGCTGCTGGCGCCCTGTTGATTGGGAAGAAAGTCATGGCGCGGAGAATTGATGATGGATACTTTTATATGGGGACAGTTCAGAGTCAGGTAATTTCATTTTATTTTTTTATCAAGATTGTAACACGGGTAATTCTTACTTCCAAATTTATAATTTTCAAGAGATGGATATTGGCAATGTTTTGTTTTGCAATACATTGTTACCATGGCAACACAGAGGTTTCAAATATTGATATACAAGCTGACACATCCCTCTTCCTCAGCCAATTTTCAAGCTAGAACTTAGTTTTCCTTTTCACATATTTTTGTTCTTGATTTTGTGACAAGTGTTACCATGGTTACCAAAAAAAAAAGATATAATGTGGAATATACTAATATCATGTTCAAGAATATACTAATATCATTTTAAAGCTGCAATACTTATCACTGGTACATGTATTTTAAATTCGTCATGTGTGGGTCATGTGCTAATATTAGTAGAAGGGAATGATCATTATGATTTTGTGTTCAAAGTTGGGATTATTTAAACTTATTACTGTCTTAGTACAAGGTACTCTAACATGGAGTTTAATGATATAGGGAGAAACTTATTAACTAATAAATATATAAGGCTGGTTCTCATATCAATGAAATATGAGTAAACTCCAACAGAGGTTAACCTTGTCCGCTGACAAAGTAAGGAGGTCAACATTGGGATGAGTTAGTGAGTGAGGTTAATTTTACACCGCACTCAGCAATATTCCAGCTATATGGCGGCATTCTGTAAATAATCGGATCTGGACCAGACAATTCAGGGGTCAACAGCATGAGCATCGATCTACACAATTGGAATATGATGACATGTGTTAACCAAGTCAGCGAGCCTGACCTCCCGATCCCGTTAGTCGCCTCTTACGACAAGCATGGGTTACTGAAGATCAGTATTCTAACCCGGATCTAACAATGGGACGACTCCACATGATGCTACATATAGAGAATACTACACGAGGTCTCATTACATACGAATTATAAACGAACGATTTGCATCAAATCACTGATGGAAACATACATGCACACACACACACACACACACACATACATGCTGCTTTATGTTTCCATAGATGTGTCACCTCACCTCATATGATTAGTCCTTTAATTGTTTAACTAGTTTTATCCATATTGGGAGAATGGTCAATATGAAAGCCTCTTTCTCAATACTGGTCATGTATCAATGAAATACATGTCAACTCTGCAAGTTTATAACATCAATCACAGCTATAATAACATTAAGAGTAGGACTGGCAAAAATAATCAATAATTGGAAATATCGTGGATCATGAAATCATTATTAATGATTATTGATATGAAAATTGTGTCATCAATAATATTTTACATGAATTATTGTGATTAACTTATGTTAATATTTACTCTGACAATACACAAAGTTAAATCTTTATTCATGGGTCAGCTCTTAAATGTTCAGTTAGTAATATATTCTGTAAGTAATAGAAACCTAAATATGTCACCACTCATGTGAAATATTAAATGTGATGATATCTTTCAGATGTTTTTGTCCTTGAAAGTTATTTCTCTGATATCTATCGATAGTCCATCGATATTCACTTAACGATGTCGATGTCTATGATCTATAATCAGTGATGTTTTACTGACATTTGGTGTGGACTCGAGGTCCAAAATAGATCTCTGATCAGATCCTGATTAGTCCCAGGTATTTGACCGAAGCGTTTAACTATTTAGGTAAAATTGGCATGCGTGAAATCCTCTTAGAGTTGTCTACAATACTTAGGGGACTATTCCTGCGTAGCTAGTTTGGTAAGACACAGTCCTGTCAATATTTCATCTTCGGCTCATGTGCTGTAGCCATGCGAACCAGGTTTTGCTGGAGCATCTTTAATGTTGGTCTTCCCTGACTAGTAAGACATGGCCTACTGGTACATGATACTCATTAGATTGGATTAATTAAATAATAATGTGCCTGATAGTGCTATTGACATTCGGATTGCTGTCATTCATGTTTAAGAAACTGACTCACGCTTTACACATCGTTTTTGCTTCTCACTCTTTAATGGTCTTCTACTCTGTGTGCTCCATTTTCCTCACGAGACTTGGATTCAACGTTGTACATTCAGTATTGGTTAATGAATTCTTCCTTCTGCTGTACAAATATGAGAGACGTATGGAGACGTATGTTACTTTTGCCTCCTTTTTCATCCTATTCTTAGCTGACTTTAGTCACTGATTAAATGTTTAAAGAGTTAGAGAACATTCATTTTAAATGTTTCTTCTTTTCACTGTACGTCGCCTCTTGTCAATAGTGGCGGAGAGGTAGCCTAGTGGTTAAAGTGTCTGCTCGTCACGCTGAAGACCCGAGTTAGATTCCCCACATGGGTACAATGTGTGAAGCCCATTTCTGGTGTCCCCCGCTGTGATATTGCTGGAATATTGCTAAAACCAAACTCACTCACTCGCTCCTGTCAATATTTTAACACATGTGAAGCCCATTCTGTGAAACCCATTTCTCAAGTCCAATACTGTGATATGGCTAAAAGACACGTTAAAGCTGACTGAAACTCACTCACTCATTCAAATGACCATTCACCTCACTCACTCACTCAATATTTGAAATACTGTTCACTGTTACAATTATGCTCCAAAAGAGAATTCAATTCTATCAAACATGTGAAAGTTCAGTTTCCATTCAGAAGTTCGGGGACATAGTGAATCCCAATGACATGGAGGTGTGTGAACTAAGCCCCGAACAACTGCCGAACACAGGCGAACAGCCCAGGATAAAGGCAGTATTGTGTACACACAGTGTTCAAGTTGCTAGGTATATGGCTACACACACTGGAGCATGGTACATGTATAATGGCCTATCATGAGGGGTGTGACGAGGTAACGAGGGGACAGATAAAGCCCTGCCCCAGGTGATAGTGAGATTTGTTGGGTAGAAGTACTGTTATGGTTACAGGAATATTTCCTTTACTTTAAGACATTTATATTAGGGTACAGATAATCATTACCTTTTTTGTATGTATTTTGCCTATACAATATATTCATGTATTTTTTTCATTGTGAAAGTATTAGAGTACAGATAATCATTTCTTTTTATTATGTGTTTTATTTAAACAATAATGTAGATATTTTTTCATTGAGAAAATATTTTTTGGCTGCTTTTCATATGTTTTATTAAATACAACCTGATTTTGTGGGCCTTTTAAATAGAACAATATATGTTTTAAATCAGTTATTTAAATAGTGTAGACCTCGGATTCTAAAGCAGAAATTATTGTAGCAATAATTATTTTATAAGACTCTTTAGCTGTCCTACAAAAGAAATGAGCAAATATATGAGTGACTGTTCGTGAAACAGTACATGTGCTGATTTGCAGCTTTTGACTGTGAAAATAAGAATCATCTATCAGATGTGATAGGAGTATTTTTGTCAAAACTAATGACATATTCATCCAATAAGTCAGAAAGGTTAATAAATGTCGATTCCGTGGAAGAAATCGTTATGTTATAAGTTGTGTCATGCAAAATCCTTTTGGTCATGATTCAAATACATATTTAACTACGAGTAGAAAGTAGTTTTTATTTTCTAACTTGATGAAAACAAACCATAATCTCATTAATTCTAACAGACTTTAGCCCGTGACTTTACGATTTTAAAAAATGGCGGTGCCCTGTCGCGAGATAGTGTGAGATATAGTTCCATTCAGTCCCAGAAATATAGTTATCTTATGACATCATATAAAATATATACTAGTATGTTTATCTACAAAACAAATCCAAATGGAGCCCAATACAGTCCTCCACTTCTCCTCAGAGCTGAGTTACCAAATGATTCTAGACAGGACTACGACTCCTATTTGATTCCTTCTCAAGGCTGTAGGAGACAGTGTGAGACATTTGCAGTAGGTCATGATGACATAGTATCCAACAATCATGACAGGCTAATGAAGTGTGGAAGGCCTTTTAATCTACTCCTTTATTTATGTTTAACTGATCAATAACACAACATTAATCAGGTGGAGTCTGTTTCACACCATACTGACATCTTGTCTTTGAAATGAATAATTTTACAGAAAACAGTTAAAAAATTATAATCGTAAAATACAATGAAAAGGAGCTCAGAGAATTTCTCCTCTTCCTGACACTGTGGTAATCTAGACTTGCCACATATTCTAGACTTGCCACATAATCTAGACTTGCCACATATTCTAGACTTGCGACATAATCTAGACTTGCCACATATTCTAGACTTGCCACATATTCTAGACTTGCCACATATTCTAGACTTGCCACATATTCTAGACTTGCATGGGCTTTCTTGGACATATTTGTCTCAGGGTCTGTATGGCAGACAAGAAGCACATACTTTCCTACATTGGAGTGAGTGAGTGAGTGTTACGCCGCCTTAAGCAATATTCCAGCAATATCACAGCAGGGGACACCAGAAATGGGCTTCACACATTGTACCCAGTCATTGTGGGGAATTGAACCTGGATTTTCTGCGTGACAAGTGAACATTTCAACTACTAGGAGATTTTTTTGTAAAACTGTTTTCTTGATATGTGTCCTTTGTTTCACAGATTCTACAGGACAAGTTCCTGGTAGCTTTCGGCCCGTATAAACATGGCAAGTATCGGGACACATCATACCAGGACACCTTTGTGTACGACATTGTGGACTTGATCGATGCAAAGCGACACACCATCCTCACAGGGGACAGGGTCTTGGCCCCCTGGGAGCCTGAGGGGAGAGGTATGGCCCAGGGATCGTCATCGACGGACATGAGAGGAGAGGTGCTGAGGGTAAGAATTTTGATGTGACTCTAAAGTTAAATTTTTACTGTCATGCAGATTTTAAAAGGGATTATTATCCATATGGCGAAAAATAACCAGTGTCATATGTATCTCATATGTGCATGTGTGCACATGTCACTTTTACCTAGCAACCATTGTTTCTGTATTTTGTCGTCCGTGTTGTCATCAAGCAATTGAACGTGACGTCAATGAAGAGGGCCATCACACTCACTTGCTTATCGTGTTTTGCTGCACAAATGTACATGAATAAAATGAATAATAAAGAAATTATTACACTCAAGCAAGTGTGTCATATGACTAAAACAAAAGAAGTGTTTAATTTTTTATTGCCCGAGTGAAAGCATTTCGTATAAATCTATTTATGTTCTGTTTCCCATTACAGGTGCCGATCTACATTTTGTAGATAGTACCACGTGATATTGAGAGATTGTCTCTATGTTACTAGTTCTGATAATCTTGTCTAGTGATGTTTAATTGCATATTTAATTCATTGACAAAAGTCAATGTCTCTTGTTCTTTCACATAAAGCAATACAATGACTGTCTTACCACCAGCAAAATAAGTTTGATGCACGGTCATACATGTATATGGTAATTTGAAAATATTTTGTAATTTGGGATTCTTACAAATATTATAAATCTTAAAATTGACATGTCCTGATGGTTTATCATTTGAAAGGTTCCTGTTCCAGGAGTACCAAAATCACTTTCTGGATTATAAATTTTTGAGGAAGATGGTTCCATAAAACAAGCCTTGACAATTTTAAGGCCTAAGATAAATAAATGTTAAGCAGAAAAATAGGTAAATATTTGACCTTCTGAAACGTTTACCGTAATGTAAGGTAAGACTATACTCAAAACTGTGTTGTACCCTTACGCAGTAGGCTGAAGTAGATGACTAGCATATAGAGTACATTATAAGAAAAACGGGCCAGAAAAAAAACCCAGGTATTTGTTTATCAAGGATTTATTGTATGTTCTGGATCCAAAGTCCGTTTCTAGATTCCTTGTTGTCTGTTAACACCTAAAGCTCAGCTCCATGTACAAAAAGTACTGTGTAGATTACCTTATGATGGATATTGCTAAACGTTTAATAACTTTTTATTGATTTTGTAACTTCGTCTTTTGGGGATAATGTTATTCATCCAGATTTCTACCAGTTTCTTTGAGTCCCTTTGTCTTGGTAACCATTTTGCTTCTAAATGTTTAGTACATAACAATCAGTGAATACCTGATTTTGTTCATTGCTGTAGTTAATATGCCTTAGCAGCCTGTGAAGATGCAGGTTAGAATGTTCTTTAGCACCCTATGCTTGATATAAGAGACCGCAAACATGGACTTGCTGACTTGGTTGATGTACTTCATCGTAACCCAATATTGTACATGGACGCTGATGATGTCAGTACAAGGATTGTATGGCTAAGATTTCATTATTTGCAGACTGCTAACTTACAACCGAGTTTATGATAATTGCTGAGTGTGGTAATAAAAAGCAAACTCTTGGGTACCAAAGGTCATTCTTGCTTGAAGTGGCAGTGGGGTAGCCTGGGCCTAGATTTTCGAAGCTCTCTTAGCTCTAAGATAGTCGTAAGTGCCATACATTAACATTAACTTACGACTATCTTAGCGCTAAGAGAGCTTCGAAAATCTAGGCCATGGTGGTTAAAGCATTTACTCATATTGCCGAAGATCCAGGTTTGATTCCCCACATGGGTACAATGTGTGAAGCCCATTTCTGGTGTTCTCCATCAGAATATTGCCAAAATCGGCATAAAACTAAACTCACTAACCCATTCCTGAGTGATTAAATGTCAAGGGACTGGATGTAGTTTGTTGTTATTCAGTGATGTTTTTTTTCCGTGGTATGTCATGTCGTGGCTGGATGTGCCTGACCTTCGCTGTTGAATGTGTGAATCTTATCCTGGAGGGATCTCTCCCGCCCTGTGTCGCGTGACTGGGCTGAACTTCAATCTGGAGAGCGGGAGTCGTCATGCATACTTTATGAGATTGGTATACAGATCATCCTGATGAAAAAGCATCTCTTGCGTGTTTGTCTTCATGGGTCTTGTGTCTGGCACGGAACTGATACAGTGTTGGACACAGACTGGTGTTAGTGTCTGCAACTGAAATGATACATTGCTGGATACACAGACTGGACGTAGTGTCTGCAACCGTATTAATACAGTGTTGAATACAGACTAGACGTAGTGTCTGAAACCAAACTGACAATGACTGATACAGATTGAAGTTAGTTTCTGAAACCAAATTGAGGGTGTCTGACACAGATTGGAGTTAGTTTCCGAAACCAAACTAAGGGGTCTGACACAGATTGGAGTTAGTGTCTACAATAGAATTAACGGTGTTGGATGCCAGCTGAACCTTGAGTCGGACATGTACGGACAAGATGTCATATCTAAACAGACTAGTCATAATATTTCAGTTGAAAATCTGAATAAAATATGCCATAAAATCAGACCAACACATTGTCTGACGAACCAATTTATTGATTCCTAACAACATCTTATTGAGATAACAGTAACCATGGTAACCAGACCTATTACACCATAATTCCCCACTTATAGCAGGTATAATTTGTACTGGTGTACTTCACACTTTGTGCTTTGTAAGAGATGTGAAATTCAGCATAGGGATTGCTCTGTAGTATTGCTTACAACCATATCATTCCCGACCTAGTTCTGTGTAATAGTTACAGATCACATACAAATTACATTCGGATTATATACAGATTACATTACTGCCTCCACTATTATCAGAGTTAGGGGATAGATAATCTTGGGATTGAGAGATTAGGGCTATCGATAGTATGACTCCATTGGGAGACTTTACCTGCTTGATTTGGCTGATGGATTCTGATTGTCACTTAAAGAATATTTGTTCTGATGTTAAGGTGCAAAATGAGATGTGCATTTGTTTCTATTAGAGATATTGGTATATGTTCTTGTAATTAAATAATTGTGTCTCCACAAAAATTTAAAAATAATTATTTTGATAGATCTTTTTCTTCCAAAGTACTTTTCATTTGCCACCAGACACCAAGCTCTTTCAATGACATAATGACAGCCATATTTCATTCTGTGTAAATAGGCACACCAAGGATTGAACAAATGTGTGTTTGTTTGTGTGTGTGCTTTTCTGTACAATTCATGTACAATTTAGTCCCAGATGGAAATGAAACACGTGACAGAGGGACCTACACACTGGTTGACATGCAACATCTCTGAAGAAAAGGTGTGTGTGCAGCCCCTCACCAAAGTCTCTGCCAAGTTACATTCTTCCCAGATATGGGGGTGAAGAATGAAATAATTCAGTAAAACTTTCTCTCCATGTTTTTATCTTCTTAAAACAATGTGTAAACATTATTTCCAAAGATGATGAAACTAGTCTTATAAAACCAACCTACGGTTATACTGCTTTAGATTTCATAGGGCCAATAAAATTCACCAAAATTGGGTTGTCCATGGTGCTGCATTATTCACTTTGAGTGAGTGAGTGAGTTTGGTTTTACGCTGCTTTTAGCAATATTCCAGCAAGATCACAGTGGGGGACACCAGATTCTGGGCTTCACACATTGTACCCATGTGGGGAATCGAACCCGGGTCAGTGGCGTGATGAGTGGACACTTTAACCACTAGGCTACCCCACCACCGCCATTGTTCACTTTGAGGTAGGCCAGAATCTATGATGTTGTGTCCTTCATGGTTTGCTCCAAACACGGTTCCAGGATCGTGAGCACCAGACACATGCTTGTGGGTTTTGTCAATGCGTGGTTATACGTCGACTCACCCAGGGGAATTTGCTCATGTTTAAGATGAAGTGTACGTACAATGCATTGACAAGACGAAGGAATACGTTGAGCTCAAACTTCTTTAGTTACATGACAGACAAATACACAAGACATAAATGTGGTGAGCGGATTACCCGCTCAACCCCAGGACGTTTCCTACGAGCGGCATTATCCTGCTCGCGGTCGTCCTTACACAAGCAGGCGGTATACCGGACTCGACTCTGTTTTCCTTCACAGTCTAGATGTGAGCATACTAAATATATATATACAGTTTTTGACAACAATGGACAGGCGACGACTCAACAATGGACAGACAGAAATACAATAGCACTTCCTTGACCAGTTGGTGTGATGGCAGACACAGCCAAGGGGGATTACCAATGAAGGTTATAAATGTCTTATACAATAATTAATGGTCTGACAAGTCAATTTACAATGCGGTAGTGATAAGGATGTACAGTAGTGATTAAGAATACAGGTTAGCGTCATATATATATTACAATAAAGTCTCACATGTCTTGAGTACATAGTTTGGACTTTTTAAATATTTGGACGATGGCTGCCCTGAATTAGTCACTATAACAGTTTCACCAAGTGTTTAGTTAAAATTGCTTCTATTTGAGTCTTTTCTTACATCAAGCTCACATGTTGCGATATAACTGGAAATCTGGGTTTTTTTTAGTAGGGGTTGAAGGTTGTGGATGGGTGACCTTTCTCCTCAGTTACTTTGAACTAACTAAGGAAGAATAACAATATATGAATGAACAGTTTCATTTTTATTCTTTATTACAAGTTTTTCATCCATATAAGTGCCTTTCAAAGAACTTAACTTGAACCGTGGAGCAAAAGTAAAATCCTGTACACACCAAGCTAGTCAGTCTTAGTATCATTTAAAACAATACAATCTTCGTAGTTTAAAGGTTGGATAGTTGTTACGGAACTTTCCACATGACATTGGCCTTGTTGCCATACGAATTATGCACCACTTGAAATGAATTTAGTTGCTCCCGACAGTGCTAGTGCATAGGCTCCACACAGGGTCACAGCAACAATCTCCTCAGTGTTGCCAAGGCGACGATACACTCGGCTGTGCCTGTGCAATCAGGAAAACAGTGTCGTGTTCACGTTTAATCAGACCAGTGACAAACAAATGAAGTAATAATGAAGAAATCTGTTGATATGGCTACTTGCCTGGTCTAGACTTGGGGAAGAAATCTCAGTCGTGGCCAAATCATAAGGAATTAATTTGCTGGGATTTACTTCCTGCCATTTAAATCCTGCTGTCGTGGATACAAATTAAAGAATTAATTTACCTCCCCGTGAGCCATGACTTCTGTTTGATGAGAAAGTGAATGAAGCTGTCTGTTACATGCCTTAGGTTGAAATGAAATCTGACTTACTATAGTCAAGCTGGAGCGGGTTTTTTCAGATTAAAACAAAATACTTCTGTTTCTCTTGACATGACTATCTCATTATAGTGCTGTTGACCTGGAACTTATTTTCAATTGTTTGATATAAAGTCTTCGAGAAAAGTTTTCAAGTCCAAATTAATAAGTACGATAATAAACAAACAAACAAATAGATTGATAAATAAATAAATAAATAAATAAATAAATAAATAAATAAATAAATAAATAAATAAATATCTAGACACTATCTCTGACTATATCTTATCAGTGTTGATGTAAAAGTTTGGTCTTCCTTCGATCTAAACAAGGCTTTGGGAACCAGTAAAATAACACTAACAGGTTTGATAAAAACTGTGCCATTTAACCAAAATTGTATTAATGAAATATTAAATTTTTTACAGCATTTTTATAAATATAATATGCTTCACCATACATTAAAGTTACACCAAATGTCAAATAAAATATCCATTTTCATCATATATTTGAAAACAATCCTTAGAAAACCACTGAATGTTTAATCTCATAACAACAATGTTTTATTTTGTTTGTAAATGTAATAAAAATATGTCGTATGATCAAAGTTCCTGGAAGTGAAATAAGCCCATACAGCTGAAACACTTACACCACAGAGCTGGAGACGTGTCACCATAATAGCAGGCTATTTGTAGATATATTGATTCTGTCACTCAGTCCCAGTGTTTGGACTCTTGGATACAGTAAACACCAAGTCGCATCTGTTTAATCTGCTGAATCATCAATTAAAACTTCATAAAATAATTTCAATAATGTTTAATTTTTTTAAACACTCCTTGGCATGAGTTTGTTGAGAAATAGCAATGATTTTCATGTACGATTAACTAAATATTTGACTTTGTTGTTTTTTGTTTGGTGTGTTACTATGATATCGAGGCATTGTGTTTGACATCATTGTGGAGTTCAAGTTGATCATTTGTCTCACTTATTGGTCTCGGTGATGGAATATAGATCTCTATCTGTTGGTTAGTGTTATGACTGTTTCATGTCGAAACGTCATTCTGGTCTGGTGGCTTGTTTGAGTGTTTCAGTTATGTGGTGACTTGAATAAAGGTATATACAATGGCACGAATACAATACACGCCATAAATATTGGATAACAAGTTAAAAATTCTTTCACAAATATCCTAACGTGTCATGTATTGCTGTGTGTGGCATTAAACAACAAACAAACTATTATTTGTTATATACTACTCACACTTTGCTAAGGATCACAAAAAATCACAACTTTACTTAAACGTAAATTTATATTTTGAAATTGTATCCATTTAAAACTGGGTAAATAATTATATGGTAACGTCTCTTTAGGCAAAAAGTCACTTTAATCTAACCTTATGCACTTGATACATGAGTAACCATAGAAATGGTTTTCATGGCACCAGTCAACCATTTTGCATATCATGGAACGAGTCATTGACAAGTACACAAAACCTGTCAATAACAAGTGTGGGATCCACAAGATGAAATGACATACTGAAACCTAGGATCCATGCTTACAGTAAGCTTAGATATTTAAACCAAATTTGACCCCACATCATAATTTTCTGTTGAATTCATGATTTGATCCTTAGCAAAGTGTGAATAGTATAGTTGGTCAAATAATAACCAAATAAAAGATATGGCATTGATCAAATAATAACCAAACTAAAATGAAATATATATGGATCATGTTTTTATTTTTCCATGACCTTCACAAGTGTTTACATTTGTCATGACAATGACCAGTGGCCATCGCATTTCACTATTAAGCCATATAGTGAATAGTATATAGCTGTGGGAAACAAAATAAAGGATCACAGTGATCCTTTATTTTTCCCTCAGGAGTATAGTATTAACTATCACCAAGTTTGGATCTGTTTTGTTTTGCACATGTGCTTTGGTAAATAATAATAAAATAAAAATATTCAATAGAATTAAAAATATTCATAAATATTCAGTTCTAGTTATCACAAATAATGAATTGAATTAATAAAGGAATATAGTTCAGTTCACCAAATGTGACTGAATCATAACAGTCATGTAACTAGATATGCTGGTATACTGTTTGGGAAAGATTATCAAATTGATGTGGTCAGACTTTCTTAAGGAAATAAATGTATCATTATCAAGTCAAATTCTGTGACTAAAATAACATGAAAGTAATTTTCAGTGTGTTTGGTACTGGATTTGTTTCATGACACTATAATGTCATGTTCGCGGCAGCTCTTAGTAAGCTTACAAAATGACATTTGCATAATTTAATGTATTAAAACATGAAATTTTGTGTAAAGCATGAATAGTTGAAATTCTGACATCAACAAAAAATGGCATTTCATAATAATGTGTGGAAGCTTAATTCTATATGACTTGTGAAGATCCGGGTTAGAATTGATCTTCAGCAACCCATGCTTGTTGTAAGAGGTGACTAACGGGATCGGGTGGTCAGGCTTGCTGACTTGGTTGCCACATGTCATCGCATCCCAATTGCGTAGATCGATGCTCATGCTGTTGATCACTGGATTGTGTGTTCCAGACTCTATAATTTACAGACTGCCACCATATAGCTGGAATATTGCTGAGTGCGGCGTAAAACTAAACTCACTCACTTGCTCATTCTATATGTCTGCACTGACTACATTTCAACCAAAGGGAATTACTTTTCATGAGCTTATGTAAAACGAAAAAGACATGTACTTTTGGAAGTATTTATCACAAGCCATTCAGTAGTGGATAAGACCTCCATTTCTGATTATTTTATCAAGGTGTTGAAAATGGGAGTTGTGGTGGCCCAGTTGTCTGTGGTGATTGTGGGTTCAGATTGATTGATTGATTTATTGATTGATTGATTGATTGACATCGCACTCAGCACTTGCCGGTCTGTAAATAATCGAATACTACTATGGGCCAGACAATCCAGTGATCAACAGCATGAGCATTGAGCTATGCAATTGGGGTTGAGAACTAGTTCACTGCAGTTGTGTTTCTAGGCTCTTCAGCACCCATGCTTGTGGGTTTCACCAAAGTAGGGAATGTCTGTCCCTGCAGCATGATGTAACTGGAATCCTGTTTAAAGTAGCATCAAAACACAACAGTTTACTGTGGATGGAATTTGTACACACCTCCGTCATAAGCGCCATGAGCATACACAAGTGGGTGGCGATGACGCCATACAACTAGACATTATTATTATTGTTATTATTATAAGCTTGGTGGAAAGTGAAATTCATTCTTACCAAACCAGGGATCAGGTGGTCAGACTAGCTGACTTGGTTGACACATGTCATCATATATCCCAATTGTGTACATTGATGCTCATGCTGTTGATCACTGGATTGTCTGAACCAGACTCGATTATTTACAGACCACCACCATATAGCTGGAATATTGCTGAGTGCGGCGTAAAAATGTACTCACTCACTCTTACCAAACCTTATTCACATGTCCTTTGCTCTCCTTGTTTCAGGACCAGATGACAGTCAGATCACAGTAACATTCAGCAATGGCAAGACGGAAAAAGTCGTGGAGGACCAGGCTGTCTGGATCCCTGAGCCCGTGTATGAGCGTCTTGCGCTGGAGCTAAAGATGCCTCGAGTTGCCCGGGAGACCCTTCAGAATGAAGAGAACTATCCTCAGGACACCCTTCCGGGCTACCCAGTGTCGGGACCTGTTGCCTACCCTCCCGAATTCCCCCAAGCAAACCCCCTGGTGGTTGACACCGAGCCAGGTGTTATGGACCGAGGGTTGTACCGATGTCCTCCTTACGTCCCTACCTACCCGGTCGTGCATCAGGCCCGGACCAAGAAGGCCAAGGCAGCTGTGAAGAGTGAAGACATGGATGCTGTGATTCCTGGAACAAACATGACAAGCAAGGAGCTGCAGGACAAGGTCTCGTCTCAGCTCAGCGAGCTTTCGGACGAGAAGGAAGAAAAGGCTGAGCTGGATGAGAAGGAGATTGAGACAATTAACCGGAGGAAGAGGTTGCTGAAGAAGCGGGAGAAGCAGTTTGCAAACTCTTGCAGGAAATCTGTCTCGTTTGATGATTCTGTTAAAGAAGCTTATTACCGTAACAACGATGTCCGTTTGGAGGATTTTGACCTTGGTGATGCAGACAGTGGGTATGCAACATCACCGGATTTGAGTGAGGAGAGGGACAGGCTGGAGAGGAAGAGGCAAGAATGTGAGCAAGAGAGATGGCTTCTGAGAAGGGAAAGAGAGGACCTGGAGCAAGAACTTAGACTACGAGAAAGAGACGTTGGTGTCAACACCGACTCCAGTCTGCTGTTCAGGAAGTCAACTCCAGTTGGCAGACGGCCTCCATGGAGGTACTGGAAGCGGGATCCCAGTCCTGGAAGGAGGAGAGCGAAGTCTGCAGTTACACCTTTCAGAGAGACAGCTTTGCAGGCTCCACTTGAAGCTCGGGATCAGAGGAATGCAGCCATCAACTCAGGTTAGTTCACAAACAAGATTCTAGGTGATACATGTGATGCACAGTTAGATCAAAGGTATCCTGTGGCAACAAGCCAGAAGGTGGGTGTTAGGCCCTAGAATCTCAGAGACCAAAGCATATACTGGTAGATATACTAGTAGTGCTAATCAGCAATATGCTCTGAATTTATCACTGCTCCATGGGGATTCAGGGTTTGAAGTTGTGTTTGAGATCAGATCAGATTGTCAGGCTTGGTTGCTAGGAGACCAGGATGAAAGCATCATAGCGCCATCATTTCCCATCTCAAAGACTGGTTTGTCTGATCCACTGATATGAATATTTACAGGCCACCTTCGTGTAACTGAAAATCTTTTGTTGTCATGCAGTAAAGAATTAACAATGAAACATTTTCACCTTCACAGTGGAATGGAGGAGCCCAGTCTTCAAGTATGTGGATCCCCAGGCAAGGGGAGACTACTCTAACTCGGTGGAGCTGCTGTTAAAGACGCCCAAGCCACCCAGCACTAAAGCTGGTACTGTCCCTAGGGATGGGGACGGCGTGGCCAGTTCCCTGGGATACAGGATAATGACAGAGCATGACATTGCCTTAGCCAGGAGGGAATACAGGTAACACTGTCAATGACATTATGTTTTTATTGAGATATTTTGTCGTGGTAACCATACAGTCAGGTTTCGTAATTGCAAGTTTATCGGGTGACTTTAAATGGCTGGAATTCTGTAATGAAGCTGCACAAAGAAAACATTTATTGCAAAGATGTCACGGAACTTAGCACCAAAATCATTACATTACTTTGCATCAATTTCCATTAGTAGCATTTTGTGAAATATTTTGTGAGTGTTTAGAAATTATTAAGCCCGGTGTAAATTCATTGTTAATGAATTGTGATATCTCCATAATAAGAACCAAAAGAATTTCAGTATTTGATGACACAGACTTTTATCACGACGTGTGTGCTTTGTGCACTTGCACATGCTTTTACTACTCCAGATTTGTTATTATGTTGGTTAAATAGTTCTATCCTAATGAACCGCCTCCGTGGTGTAGTGGTTAGAGCGTCCGCCCAGAGAGCGTAAGGTCGCAGGTTCGATCCCCGACCGCATCATAGTAAAGACGGTAAAATATGGTACTTGTTGGTCCCTGCCTAGCGCCTGGCATTAATGGATACAACAAGGACTGGTCAGCTCGGAGTCAGTATACTGTGTCTGAGTGGGGTATTCATGCTTCACTGCGGCATGGTATCTCAGTGGGCTAGCACTATAAAACCAGCTTAAGTCTGGGCTAGTACAAGCAGCTGCACATACATATACACACGCATGCACGTCGTCATATGAGCGAAATATTCTCAAGCACGACATTAAACCCAGTTTCACCTTCACCCTCTATCCTAATGAGATACCATGCCACAGTTTAAGATGGTTGCAACAATCAGATAGGCCAACAACTAGAACCATGTTTTTTGTTTTTGTGTGTGATTGAACCTGGGATCTAACCACCAACCTCTTGTTCTCAAGGCTGACTTTCTATACACTTGACCAAAGGGATGAAAACAGTATCTCATACACATGTTATCCACAGACGTCAGCAGATCATCAAGCGGCGAGACGACTGGCAGAATCGTCTGGCGGAGGAGAACAGCATGAAGCTGGCCATGAAGGACCAGCACCACCAACGCATCCTGGAACAGCTGACCCGGGAACGCGACCGCCAGCTGCAGGAACAGCAGATGATCGCCAATCAGCGGGAAGCTAAGAAGAAGATCAGCTTTGAGCTGAAACAGAGGATTGAGAAGAACCAGCAGGTTGAGGTCACTCGTGAGGAGAAGCGCATCGATGCTCTGAGGAACAGGCGGGAACACAGGGAGGCTTTGCAGACACAGCGTCAGAAGCAGGTCGAGGCTGTCAGTCTCCGGAGACAGGTGAGCTGGATTCAGACATCTTGGTTCAGTCGGTTCAGTTAGTTCATACTGTATAATCGTTAGGATGAGAAAGCCACAATAACTCGGTGCACCTAGTGGCAGCAAGAGTTGTATACTCCCCAGGGAGTTGAGATTGATAATACGATGTGCCCTTGAGATTGACGTCCGATGATCGAGGGGAAAATAACAGCGCCTTGAGCATGCACTAGTTGTGTGGATACGTGCGCTATATAAATATCCTACAATAATAAATGATAATAATAATTGAATAGGCTATGACTATGGCTGACTATCGACAGAGATGGTACACCTACAGAATACCGGATACCTACCAGCCATATTGTTTAGTGTCACGTCACCCTATCCCTAACCCTAAACCTTACCCCAACCCTAAACCTAACCCTAAAACTAACCAAAAGTAAACCTGCTTTCTTTCAAAGATGGGGGGCGGTGGGGTAGCCTAGTGGTTAAAGCGTTGGCTCTTCACTCCGAAGACCCGTGTTCGAATCCCCACATGGGTACAATGAGTGAAGCCCATTTCTGGTGTCCCCCGCCGTGATGTGCTGGAATATTGTTAAAAGCGGCGTAAAACCAAACTCAGTCAGTCAGTCAGTCTTTCAAAGATGGCTGAAGGTATTCTGTATTCTGTAGTCTTACCACAAAGATCATAGAGATCAATAATCGGATGATTAGACATGGATCTATTATTGATAAGTAATAATTAATTGTCAGTGATAATTAATGACCTATGGAGATCCGGGTCAGAATTTGTCTTCAGCAACCCATGCTTGTCATAAGATACGACTAACGAGATCGGGCAGTCAGACTCGCTGACTTGGTTGACACATGTAATCTTATCCCAGTTGCATAGATAGATGCTCATGCTGTTGTCACTGGATTGTCTGCTCCAGACTCGATTATTTACAGACCGCCACCATATAGCTGGAGTATTGCAGAAGATCAGTTCTAACCTGGATTCTTCTGGACCTTGACATAAGCAACATTCAGTCATTCAGACACGGTAACTCATTTTTGTATATTTTCCAGCAAATCAAAGTTCAGCGCAGCCAGGCCCGTGCTGATGCTTATGCTGCCCAGCTAGATGAGGAGGAGGCCAAGTCCAATTTCCAGATAAAGCAAGCCCAGAGTGCTAAGACAAGTCGTATCAACCACTTCCGTCATCTCGAGGAGGAGGCCCAGCGATCTAAAGACCTTCGGAAGATCGTCACAGACTTGCATCAATCCATGCTGAAATCACAGATATTCCCCTAGGAGGAGGATATCAAGGATATGCCCCAAGAGGAATGATATCGCAGATATTCCCAAAAGGAATATCACAGATACTCCCCTAGAAGAATGTCAGAGATATTCCCTTAGAAGAAAGTCACAGATAATGTCCCAAGAAGAATGTCACAGATATTCCCCTAGAAGAATGTCACAGATATTCCCCTAGAAGAATGTCACAGATAATTTCCCAAGAAGAATGTCACAGATGTTCCCCTCGAAGAATGTCACAGATATATTCTTAGAGAAATGAAATCGCAGATATTCCATTAGAAGATAAGTCACAGATATTCCCTTAAAGAATAATATCACAGATTAATATCACAGATATACTGTTAGAAGACATGTAGTTGTTTATATTTGTACCCTACACACTTTTAACCTTTGCTGTATAATATCCCGACCTCATTTGTGTTTAATCGGAAAGCTAGAGACAGTCTGATATCCTTGCAATGAAATCTTTACCTCAATGAAATGTATGATATTTTCTCATATCCTTGCCATCGATTGCTTCCATTCTGATGTTGGTTCGAGAAGCAGGTGATTATCAGATTTATTGAACATGGGACCATATTCCACAGCATTCCATAGAAAATGTAAACGGAAATAATATTGCTTTTGCTTTCTGTATGTGAGTAAAAAGTGTTTATATAAATGGAGGTAGACCCAGTCAGTGATGACCTACCAGTCCACTGCTTATTTCTGACAAGTGGTTTATGTAACAAGATTTTGGATGAAAACAACTAGTCCTCCTGAATTTTCACTAGTCACTGACTAGTGGGCTAGTGGCCATGTCTATCCCTGTATCATGTAGCTTTCTCCCCTTCTTCATTTTGAATGTAATTATGATACACAATTTACTATTGGCTTCCATTATCTGATATATCAAAAGTCAAAGTTTGGCCTCATTTAAATATTGTCTATTTTCATTTTATTTTATTTGTAAATATATATATCTGGAGGCAAAATATTTGGTAAAAATGTAGTTAATTATTCCCACATAAACCTGCTAAAATATATTATAAAATTTAAAATGTTTTTGATAAAAAATGTATTTTTCGCTTAGGCAATATGAGGGAGAGCTGTTTCATTTCAGTAAAATTTAGGGGAGAACTGTTGATAAAAGAAAAATGTGTTACCATAGCAACACAATTGTTATTTGTTTGTTTCCTTCATACTACTTTTAGACTGTAGTTCTGATCTCAGAGATATATAGTTTATAACCTCCTTAAGTGCCTATAGTCTCACTGAAGCCTTAGAATGGTTACCATAGCAACCAATTTGTACATAATCATAATCCAGCTCTGTAGACGACCTGTTGTTGCATTTGTATAGTGTCTGTTGAGCTTCGTATCTTGTTATTTGTGATGAAAGATGTGTAATGGATACGTTTCCCTGCACCAGTATTATTTGTTATTAGTTGTTGAAGATTTGATTTTATTAATTGTTTAGAAAAATATATCACTAACACTAACATGGAAACTATAGTGACTGCGTTAATTAGACTTTGTTGAAATCTCTTGTTTGAAAGACTGACTCTGCTACAAGTCAACTCAGGTATTGTAAGTAGTGAGCCGTAAATAAGCTAAACACGAACTAACAAATTGGTACTGAAAGACACATGTTTTAGTGCTCTCTCCTCAAATATTTTTACATAATGCATCTTTTGGGGATTTGCCGCTTCTCTTACTTTTTTGAGAAGTGACACGATACGATATGTAGGTATAGCATGGACAGCAGCACTTAAAGGGTGTCTTGCCTGGCGTTAGTTGGCAGTCTAGTTTCAGTTTATTCACAAGCTACTATTGTGGCATGGCTAAGTCTGACTGCCTACTGACTAAAGGCCTTATAGCCAATTGCCTTCTCGAAAAGGCTCCAAACTGTGACCGCCTACTGACTAATGGCCCAAACTCTGCCCTACTGACTAACTAAAGGAGGCAAACTGACTAATGGCCCAAACTCTTGATTGCCTACCAAACTCTTGATTGCCTTCGAACTAAAGGCCCAAACTGTGACCGCCTACTGACTAATGGCCCAAACTCTTGATTGCCTTCGAACTAAAGGCCCAAACTGTGACTGCCTACTGACTAATGGCCCAAACTCTTGATTGCCTACTAACTAAAGGCCCAAACTCTTGATTGCCTTCTAACTAAAGGCCCAAACTGTGACTGCCTACTGACTAATGGCCCAAACTCTTGATTGCCTTCGAACTAAAGGCCCAAACTGTGACTGCCTACTGACTAATGGCCCAAACTCTTGATTGCCTTCGAACTAAAGGCCCAAACTGTGACTGCTTACTGACTAATGGCCTAAACTCTTGACTTGCCTCTTGATTGCCTTCTGAACTAAAGGCCCAAACTGTGACTGTCCTACTGACTAATGGCCCAAACTCTTGATTGCCTTCGAACTAAAGGCCCAAACTGTGACTGCCTACTGACTAATGGCCCAAACTCTTGATTGCCTTCAAACTAAAGGCCCAAACTGTGACTGCCTACTGACTAATGGCCCAAACTCTTGATTGCCTTGCCTTGACCGTCTACTGACTAATGGCCCAAACTGTTGATTGCCTTCGAACTGACTAATGGCCCTGACTAAACTCTTGATTGCCTTCGAACTAAAGGCCCAAACTGTGACTGCCTACTGACTAATGGCCCTCTTGAAACTCTTGATTGCCTTGGCCCAAACTCTTGATTGCTAAAGGCCCACTGTGACTGTGACTGCCTACTGACTAATGGCCCAAACTCTTGATTGCCTTCAAACTAAAGGCCCAAACTGTGACCGCCTACTGACTAATGGCCCAAACTCTTGATTGCCTTCAAACTAAAGGCCCAAACTGTGACCTACTGACTAATGGCCCAAACTCTTGATTGCCTTCAAACTAGGGCCCAAACTGTGACTGCCTACTGACTAACAGCCAGAACTCTTGATTGCCTACTAAGGCTAAAGGCCCAAACTGTGCCTACTACTAAAGGCCCAAACTGCGACCGCCAAACTCACTGACTAATGACCCTAAATCCTATTGCCTACAACCTATAGGCCCTAAATCTGACTGCATACTGACTACATGCCCTAAATCTGACTGCCTACTGAAGTCATTAATCTAACTGCTACTGATCTTGTCCTAAATCCTATATCCTAATGACCACCCGACACCCCATCATGACCCTTGTCGTATGTTTATTATGAAGTATATGTAAGCTCTTTAAACAGGCTTTCTGTTATTTTACTCAGAGAATATCTGGTTACTGGGTGTGTGTTGTAGTTGTGAAAGTGCTTGTGTAGACAGATTCTGCAATTATTGTGGAAATATTGACATAGGTTATATGTATTAAATTCTTCCTTCCTCGCAACCCAGATGGGTTTTACCTCATCAACTGTTTTGTCCACAATTAAACATGTGAAGGATATTTTGAAAATTGAATATGATTATTAATTTCCTCATCACTTGTCAGTAGTATTACTGCATTCGTTTTCCGAACTGTGAAACAAGATTTTATTGTTTGGTAGTTTCTTCAGCTGTATATTTTCCAGTTTTTTTGGCTATAGAGTAATTGTGAAGAAAGTGAAAGTGTAATCCGAGTGTTTTTCTTCTGAGAGAGTTAATGCTATACTTAACGCTAACCCTCTGTCGATGATTGGCAAATTTCTGCTATTCAACACGTCTGTGATACTTATCAAGCTATTATCTTGCTAGTAAATGTGCTTTACATTTATCTGAATAAAATGTTTTCTGTATAATGTTTTTCTTTTTGAGTGGGGAGGGGATGGAGGGTGGTGTTGTGAGAATGTCTGAGCATGTCCAGTGATACTAGTATACAAGTGAGTGAATGCTTTTCATGTGTCAGTCGGTTGGCCCAGTTGTCTATGGGACTGCAATTCACTGTGCAGAGTTGCTTCCCGTGGTCCTGAACGCCAAATACGTACCTGTGATCATGTCTTCAAATCCTGAAGTTTCTAAGTTTGTCAGCACCATTATATATCCTACTTGTTGGTTTCACCAAGATGGTTAACATCTGAGACCTGCATCACCTGTAAATGTGTGAGTGAGTGAGTTTAGTTTTATGCCGCACTCAGCAATATTCCAGCTATATGGCGGCGGTCTGTAAATAATCCAGTCTGGACCAGACAATCCAGTGATCAACAGCATGAGCATCGATCTGCGCAATTTGGAACCGATGACATGTGTCAACCAAGTCAGTGAGCCTGACCACCCGATCCCCTTAGTCGCCTCTTACGACAAGCATGGGTTACTGAAGATCAATTCCAACCCGGATCTTCACAGGTATATAAATGTGTGAGACCTGCATCACCTGTAAATTTGTGAGACCTGCATGACCTGTTAATGTCTGAGGCCTGCATCACCTGTAAATTTGTGAGACCCGCATCACCTGTAAATGTGTGAGACCTGCATCACCTGTAAAATGTCTGAGACCTGCATCACCTGTAAATGTGTGAGACCTGCATGACCTGTAAATGTGTGAGACCTGCATCACCTGTAAATGTGTGAGACCTGCATCACCTGTAAATGTGTGAGACCTGCATCACCTGTAAATGTCTGAGACCTGCATCACCTGTAAATGTCTGAGGCCTGCATCACCTGTAAATGTGTCTGAGACCTGCATCACCTGTAAATGTGTAGAGACCTGCATCACCTGTAAATGTCTGAGACCTGCATCACCTGTAAAATGTCTGGGACCTGCATCACCTGTAAATGTGAGAGACCTGCATCACCTGTAAATGTCTGAGACCTGCATCACCTGTAAATGTGTGAGACCTGCATCACCTGTAAATGTCTGAGACCTGCATCACCTGTAAATGTGCATCACCTGTAAATGTCTGAGAATCACTTGTGAGACCTGCATCACCTGTAAATGTCTGAGATCCCTGCATCACCTGTAAAATGTGTGAGACCCTGCATCACATAAACCTGTAGAATGTCTGTAAATGTCTGAGACCTGCATCACCTGTAAATGTCTGAGACCCTGCATCACCTGTAAATGTCTGAGACCTGCATCACCTGTAAATGTGTGGAGTAAAATGTCTGAGACCTGCATCACCTGTAAATGCCTGCATCACCTAAAATGTGTGAGAGACCTGCATCACCTGTAAATGTCTGAGACCTGCATCACCTGTAAATGTCTGAGACCTGCATCACCTGTAAATGTGTGAGACCTGCATCACCTGTAAATGTCTGAGACCTGCATCACCTGTAAATGTGTGAGGTCTGCATCACCTGCATCACCTGTAAATGTGTGAGACCTGCATCACCTGTAAATGTGTGAGACCTGCATCACCTGTAAATGTCTGAGACCTGCATCACCTGTAAATGTCTGAGACCTGCATCACCTGTAAATGTCTGAGGCCTGCATCACCTGTAAATGTGTGAGACCTGCATCACCTGTAAATGTCTGAGACCTGCATCACCTGTAAATGTGTGAGACCTGCATCACCTGTAAATGTCTGAGACCTGCATCACCTGTAAATGTGTGAGACCTGCATCACCTGTAAATGTGTGAGGCCTGCATCACCTGTGTAAAGACCTGTCTGAGGTCCTGCATCACCTGTAAAATGTCTGAGACCTGCATCACCTGTAAATGTCTGAGACCTGCATCACCTGTAAATGTCTGAGACCTGCATCACCTGTAAATGTCTGAGACCTGCATCACCTGTAAATGTCTGAGACCTGCATCACCTGTAAATGTGTGAGGCCTGCATCACCTTAAATGTCTGACATCTGCATCACTTAAGAATTTCCCCCCAGATCAAGCTGCTAGGCTATGATATAACTAGATACTGTTATGCTGAGTTAAACCCAACTCAATCAGTCATACAGCTGGCATAACAGAACACAGTTTCTGAATAAAGGCTGGTTTTACATGCAAGGGTTGGGATGGAAGGTCATGAATGAACGATGATATATGGGAGGTTAACCAATAACACCACACAGTTCGACCTCACTCATGTATCAGGGGGATTATATAACTTAGGAACAATAAAGGCGAAAATTAGACATTTCTCAAAATCTCAGACACAAGCTCAAATCTGATGACATAGCAAATACCCTGTTGTTCAGTTGAGGATTCTTCTAGCCTCAGGGTAAGTAGTTGTTCGTGAAAGGGTTGAGTTGAGTTGAGATGGTCACATCGGCACCATTCCAGCCATAAAGTGACGAGATCAAGTTTCCATTCATTACCATTTTAAGTCCAAGGTCCAAAAGAGTTATATTTTAAAACACATATATTCATTACATTTTTATTTAAAAACAGAAAATGTCATAGCACCAAATACAAAAGCAAGCAATTTGTTATTCTCTTTACAAAGTTACAATTTATGATACAGGTCAACTTCCCTCAGGTAGTTTACAATCAGATGCCCGCTTACGCGGGAAAACAGATCTTTCAGATTTCTCGCATCATAATGTGCATCCCTTGCAGTCGAAAAGTCCACACAGTCAAGCAGAATATGCTTGATGGTGAACACTTCATCGCAAGAGACACACATGGGAGGTCCATCCCCATCCGTTTTCAGCAGATAGTCATGAGTAAACCGACTGTGGCCAATACGACATCGTCGTAAAATTACCTCATCACGTCTTGACTGACAACCCAAGTAGGTATAACAAATTGTTGGCTTCAATCCATGGAGTTTATTTCTTCCAACTTGGGTGTCCCACCTTTTTTGCATAAGGTCTCGAGTATAACTTTTGATAGTGGGTTTGAAGTCACTGTACGGGATCAGCAGTGGAGATAAGGGCTTGTCAAGAGCTGTTTTAGCTTCAGCATCGGCCTTTGTGTTACCTGGTATGCCTACGTGACCCGGCAACCAGCAGAGGACGATGTCGCATTGGCCAGTGGAAAGATCGTTGTAAAGTTCTAAAATGTCCAGGATGATAGGGTGACTTGAAGTAACATTATGAAGTGCTTGAAGGCAAGACGGTGAATCTGTAAAACCGATGACGTTTTTGGAATGGTTCTGTTGTTTGATATAGGTCAGAGCTGTGAAGATAGCTTTGGCCTCAGCAGTGAAAATAGAGCTATTGTCGGGAATTCTAGAGGAGACAGTTCTTGGATTCAATGACTGTAGCACTGGCAACTTGGCCATCATCCTTGGATCCGTCTGTGAAAATGGATCTATGGGTGTTATACTTAGAACGTAACTGGTTGTATTCCTCTTGGAACACCAAAAGATTTGTTTCGGACTTTTTGAGTTTGGTGAGGGTAAGATCACCATCTTGTGGTTTCACCATCTGCCAGGGTGGGGAAGACAGAAGCCGGTAAGGTGCTATGATATCGAGATCAATGTTAGCTGCAGATATGTGTGGTTGGATTCTGATTCCAAGTGGTGGAACCAGGCTTGGTAGATTCGGATACAGGTTTTCATAGAGAGGGTTGAAAACACAATTGTATGCTGGATTGGACTCATTTGAACGTAACTTAGTGATATACTGCAGTGAAAGTTTAATGCGGCGTTGTTCAAGGGGAGGTTCGTTAGCCTCTGCATATAGACTGTCTACCGGAGAGGTCCTAAAAGCTCCAAGACAGAGCCTAAGGCCTTGGTGGTGGATAGAATCTAATTTTTCTAAATTGCTTTTGCATGCTCCACCATAGACAATGGAGCCGCAATCTACTTTAGAGCGAACCAATGATCTGTACAGGTGAAGGAGGGTAGTCTGATCCCCTCCCCACTCTGTATTTGAAACGATTTTTAGCAAGTCAAGGGCCTTCAAGCACTTTGTTTTCAAATATTTTATCAGTGTATGAAATAAGGCCGTCCGACCGCCCGAGACGGTCTAGATTTCTGACGGACGGTCTAAATTTCCAGCTAGCCAGCCCGATGGTCTGGTAAAATGTTTAGATGTTCCATACATCTGAGTAAGTTCACCATATTTGGTCTGGTTAAATCCATTTTGGGCTGGTAACATTTTGAAGTTACCAGCCCTGATGTCTGGTTGGATTTTTGGCTTATTTCATACACTGATTTTATGTGTGGCAAGAATGTCAAGTGACGGTCGAATATGAGTCCCAGCAAAGAAGAAGGTCACCCTTGGGGATGCCTAGTTAGTACTGCTGGTTGAGACGTGATTTGAGCAATGTTTGGTCAGTGTAAGTGACCTGTTGACTGTGCGTTGTTATAAAATCAATCACTGCATTGTCGGGTCCTAGCTGGGGTAACCCTGTAATGTTTCCTATCAACGATTGTGTACATCTTAAAATAGCGGCCATATTGGATTTTCTACTTGGCCCAATGTCCAAAATGAGGGCAAAACCATCATGCCAAGTTTTATGCAATTATCGAAAAAGTGAACAATTGACAATATTTTGTCATGAAAAAGTGGAAACGTGGGATGATAAGATGTCTAACAATGTGCCGATATTTTTTCATCATCAGTCACAGTTAAGATTCCCTAAATTCAAAATGAATCTGCACATGTAACTGGAATACTGTTCAAAGCCACATTAAGCCGAACACTCTAACTCACTCTAAGAACCCATCTCTTTCCTCTGTCCTCCAACATTAAGGCAGAAACGCTGTGATATAGGTGCAGTGGGGTAGCCCAGTGGTTAAAAGCGTTTGTCGTCCCCCGAAGGCTGGTTCGACTCCCCACAAGGGTACAATGTATGAAGCCCATTTCCGGTGTCCCCCGCCGTGATATTGCTGGAAATTGCTAAAATTGGCGTAAAACTACACTCCTGGTGTAAACAGTATGCAATAGTTTCCATCTTTGCTAGCCAGTCGGTCTAACTATGCCTGAAAGCTACTAGCCCACAAAATAATTCACTAGCCCGAAATCTGAATGTAGAAACTAAGCAAACGATTACAAAAATAGATGATATTGTCGGCATTACACGGATTTCATCATTAAGCTGCTAATATGATGAACATTTTTATGAGGCCATAATCTTGCATGATTTAATAGTGTATTATAACTTAACAAGTCGGAGGGAGTGATATATTTACAAAATGACCCCATGAAAATTCACTAGCCAGTCGGGCCAGTGACTGTAGAGATGTGCTGGCCCGACTGGAATTTTACTAGCCACGGGCTAGCGGGCCAGTGGCTATTTCGCACAGTGGGTGTAAAACTCAACTCGCTCACTCACACCCCGTCACTTTCCTCTCACACTCAAATGTAACCCTACGACACAACTAGCATACTATACGATGCGACTTTAAACAAAACTTTCTTAGCTCTTCTTGCTGGCTCGTGTTGAAATCATTCATTCACTCACATCACACTCATGTCCAATACATCCTACCTACCTCTGAAGGTCGAGATAAGATAAGACACAAGCCTGGTAATTCTGACACGAAAACAGTAGGAACAAGGTGCCCTAGTCACAGGTAAAGAAACCCACTGTCCTACAGTGCTATATAATTTCATTTTGTACGTACCATACCTTGCCTTTTATACCTTGCAGAAAAGGTAGACTTTGATCTGAATAGACCTTTAATATTAACGGTGGGTAAATTTGCTTATTATGTGAGACATACTTATATTATTATTTGAAACACATTATTGTTTTAGACAGATTATTTTTAAAACAGATTATTATTTGAGACACTACTATTTAAAACATAATTGTATTTGAGTCATTATTATCTTTAATCAGCGACTGACGGCAAACAATCTTTTTGGAACCACATTGTTTTTCGGAACATTCGGCGTGACCAACCGATTCGTTATTTTGGTTAAACATGAGAAAAGTTTGTCCAGCGCATTTAGAAATAGAATAAGCAAAGTGCTAAATCTATCTTTACTGGAAATGTAAGCTTCTGAGTGAGTGAATGTTTAGTACATAAGACAGGGCGATCTTTCAGAGTGAGTGAGTGAGTGAGTGAGTTTAGTTTTACGCCGCACTCAGCAATATTCCAGCTATATGGCGGCAGTTTGTAAATAATCGAGTCTGGACCAGTCAATCCAGTGATCAACAGCATGAGCATCGATCTACGCGATTGGGATACGATGCCATGTGTCAACCAAGTCAGCGAGCCTGACCACCTGATCCCGTTAGTGGCCTCTTGCGACAAGCATGGGTTACTGAAGATCAATTCTTAACCCGGATCTTCACGGGTCTTCAATGGAAGAGACAGTATGATACACTTCTAACAATAGTGTATAGTGCTGATTCGTTTGGTCACTACAAGGTAAATACAGCATGTCTACCAAACAGTTATTTTTTTTTACTATACATAAATATACCACATTTCCAGACATCGATATTATATATTTAGTTTTAGCAATATTCAACCTTTTATATGTGAAGCCGATTCCTTGTGTAATCCGCCGTGATATTGCTGGAAAATTGACAAAAAGCGGCGTAAAACTAAACTCACTCACTCACTTCAAACTTCAAGAAATGGGCCCATTCTGTGCACAAATTGGGCATCGAACCCGGGCATTCCGCGTGACGAGTGAATGCTTCCGTCATTTGGCTCTCCCACCCTATACATTTAACAAAATACGTTTTGCAGTCATGAAAATCATCGTGTGTATGCTGTTGGGTTTGTCGGTGGCTGAAGCTCTCAACATCGCCGCCTTCAACATCAAGAGGCTGAGTGAGAACACCCTAAAAAGCCACGCAGGCAGACTGCAGCATCTCACACAGGTAAGGTATACACCGGAAAGGTTGACACTGAAACTTTGGGACCGTTCAGTGTAATTTATGGCTAGGGGTGATGATGATTTTGAGATGTGAGTGTGTAATATTGAAATATAATGCTTAAAAATTAGGGTGGGGTGGGGGTGGTGGTAATTGATTTTGTACATGACATGCACTTTGGGGTCACTTTGGAGTTATCTAGGCTCCAGCAATATTCCATTAGTTTGACAGTGCGGGACATCACACATGCAATGTGGCAGGCAGGGCGACAACATGTACCGTCGTTTGGTATGACGTGCCCGGGGAATCGAACCACCAGCTTTACGCTCTCCAGACAATCACTCTTTTCTATTGGATACCCTTGAAGGTCCGGGTTAGAATATTGATCTTCAGTAACCAATGCTTGTCGTAACGACTAACGGGATCGGGTGGTCAGGCTCGCTGACTTGCTTAACACATGTCATCGGTTCCCAATTGCGCAAATCGATGCTCATGCTGTTGATCACTGAATTGTCTGGTCCAGATTCGATTATTTACAGACCGCCGCCATATAGCTGGAATATTGCTGAGTGCAGCGTTAAACAACAAACCAACCAACCATAGGAGTAAGTGAGTCAGTGTAATTTAAGGCCGCTTCGCTGTCTACAGAACATACTAGCTATGCTATGCTATACTGTAATGTAGGCCATAGGCCCATAATTACAACAATAGTTACAGGATTTCCCTTGGGGGATGTATAACAGATAACTATAGATGAGATTACAGGAGGCAGAGAAACGTTTCACATTTGCATAGTAAATATACATAGCAGTATTTCTAATATCTTCAATATTTGCTGATGACATTAACATATTAAATTTATGTAAAGATGGATACTTGTAAAACTGTTCTGCAATATGTCTAATCCTTGAGTCATTATAATAATCACACGCTAATAAATAATGGTATTCATTTTCAATACATTGTCTGTTACAATATTCACACATTCTCTTATTAGGCTTGGTTTCCTATCACAAAGCACTAAGGTGATTGTAAGTTACTAAGGTTACCTTAGTGCAATGTTAAAGAATGGGAGTTAAGGTTAACCTTAGTAAAGGTTGCTCCGTGAAAGGAGGCCCTGCTCTTTATTGTATCTACCAGTTTCAATCGTAAGGTTATGAGATCCACATCTAAATCTTGCTATAGTTATCCTAAACTTGTTTATTTGTACACAACTTAGATACAATTCTCGCCCGAAACTAGGCTTAAAAAGAGCATAGAAGTTTGTTTTATGAGTTTCACATATATAAGAGTGCCAATTTTGCTCATAGCAAAATTGTAAATCTAGAATCAAATTCTGAAAATAAGTTTTGTCTGTTGATAATAGACTGTTGTTCCCAAATATATCCATAACCTAAAGAATAAATCAGATGTTTAACATCACATACCCAGTTTATTTTACCAGCATCTGCTAATTTTAATAACATATCATATGCTTATGCTAACTTTACATATCTGTTTCTCTTGCAGAGATTCGTACCCAGAATTTAATGATTCTTTTATGAATAAGGATACTGAAGGGGTGACGTCCACATTCCCCATATACAACATATATGATTTGGAGAATTCCTTTTTACACCTAATAAACGTTCACATACTTCTAGCGTCACGCCGAAGACCCGGTTCGATTCCCCACGTGGGTACAATGTGTTAAGCCCATTTCTGGTGTCCCCGCCGTGATATTGCTGGAATATTGCTAAAAGCGGCGTAAAACTAAACTCACTCACTCACATACTTCTAGATGAACAGCTTCAATCTCATTTATGTTACCAAAACCCCAAACGTCAGACCCACATAGTAATATAGGTATTACTTTAGAATCGAAAATCTTGAAAAAATGCATCAAATGGTAACGGCTTTAAAATATGCATAGATTAAAATATACCATAAACAACCTTTTTCGCTTGTAATGCAGCATTAACTAATCACGAACCAGGGTGGTGAACGACCATGGACATTTCGAAGGTTGTGTCAGTCAGTATGCAGCTATAATCTCGTTTTGTTATTTTTTCAGATATTGAGTCGATATGACATCATCAGTGTCGAGGAGGTCATGGACGAATACGGCCTTGCCGACGTCGTCAGGTCAATGAACAGGTACTGGCTCAGTTTTCTAAACGACATTAACCTCCATCAACAGTTCATAACATAGTGTTCCGCCAGAACATAAGGCATGTATGCATCTACAGGGAAGCGTCTTGTGATCATCTGTTCAACCCAAGTTATCGCTTACATATTTTTGAAATGCATACTATAACTTTATTTGGGCTAATTTGTCTGGCGTTCAGGATGAAGTGATATGATGTCATGTGCAACTCTCAGATGACTTATATCAAATGGCACAAGGCACCTCTCTACGTTCTCGTCTTTTATCCTGTAGGCGCTATTAGGGTCTGTCGCAATGCCGCATAACAAAATATGTTTTTCAAGAATGTGATCGTATTTCAAGAATGAATCGTATTAGGTTACCTTTCTTAATGAATGTTCAGATCGTATTTCCAGAATGTTCAGATCGTATTAGGCTACCTGACATATCTTAATGAATGTTCAGATCGTTTTCATAATAGATCGTATTAGGCTACCTGACATATCGTGTTCAGATCGTATTTCCAGACACGTTTCCGAAGCACGTTAAGATCTTTGCCAGACGATCTTTGCAAACAACAATTTTGAAATCCCAATATGAGACCATCTTCTGTAAGACTCAGCAACTGACAACGGCTGAAGTGCATGGTGTAAATCCAGCTAGGGTCCATGCAGGTAGCAAAAGTACTGTAAGTCCCCATGGTCCCTAGTATGCTGATGTACCTTCAGCTGCTGGTGATTTATAGGTCATTTTTATAATGAGTTGTTGTTTATTATTTTATTGTTTTAAATGCAATCAACTAGTTATAACTTATACCTGTGATAATCACTGAATCAGCACTCTCAAGGATCAAGAGTCATCTTCAAGATCGAACACAGTATGTTGGTTCTGCAGCTCCAAATACAACTTCTCTGTCTGTTGGAGTACCTCAAAGATGTGTTCTGGGACCACTCCTTTTCAGTGTCTACATTCTGCCGAATGGGGACATCATAAGAAGTCATGGCATCCAATTCCACTTGTACGCGGATGACAACTAACTATACTCGTCAATCGAACCAGTACCTGCCCACCATGGTGTCCTACAACTGGAAGCTTGCATTGCCGATATAAGAGCATGGGTGGCTCTTAACTACCTTCAGCTGAACGACAGCAATACCGAATTTTTAACTCTCGGATCAAACAAACAGCTTCAAAAGCTCCAACTATCACCCTGTGTAAGAATTGGCGACTCTAAAGTACCGGTGTCAGCCACTGCCAGAAACCTAGGGGTACCATTCCAGAGCTGCATGTCCATGGAACAGCACGTTAACCAACTCTCAAAGGCCTGTTTCTTCCAAATTCGCAACATCAGCAAAGTACGATGTCTCCTGGACACAGCCACAACTAAACTCATGACGCAAACTCTCGTCACCTCACCTCTTGACTACTCCGACGCTCTCTGTTTCAACATCTCAGCCTCACTCATGTCAAAAGCACAGAGAATTGAAAATGCAGCAGCACGGCTAATCTCAAGAACGAAACAATCTGACCATATCTCCTCAGTTCTCAAATCTTTCCACTGGCTTCCTATCAAACAACGCATGAGCTTCAAGATTCTCCTCCTCACCCATACTGCATCTTTGACGACAATTCCTGTTCCTATCTCAAGGACCTTGTCACTCCCCACAAACCCAGGCGATGCCTTCGCTCTGGCGACCAGTTCCTTCTCTCAATTCAGTAAAACAGGAATGAGTGATAGAGCGTTCTCCATCGCAGCTCGCCATCTTTGGAACAGTCTTCCACTATCACTCAGAATACCTATGACCACAACAAAGTTCAAATCTGTTTCTGCAAGCCTTTCAATAACTCTCACTTGTGTACAGCGCCACAGAGAACCTTCTAGATGGATTTTCGGCGCTATATAAATTTATTATTATTAAATTTATTATTAGTTTTAATCTAGTAATTCTACTGTCCATCGATGACCGATTTCTTATTCCTAATATATTAAGTATTTACATTCAAATTCTCGTCACGATATGCCTATTAAATGTTTAACTCACTCACTCGTGTAATGCATGTGTCGTGTGCCGTGTCTTCAGCAACGGAGGTGGGCCCTACGCCATGATAAAGAGCGTCAAGACTGGGAGGACTTCGTACAAGGAGTATTACGCCTTTGTATACAGGTAAGACCTGCCACCGTTTGGTTTACTTTATTGTTTGCAGGCTTATGTAAGATTTAGAAAAGGAAAACCATGCTTTTTAATCATCATCATCATCATCATCATCATCATCATCATCATCATCATCATCATCATCATCATCATAATTTATTATGTGTAGATGGCCATGAGGCCAACAGTACAACATGTGTAAAGAAATTAGGGAAAAAAATGCAATTTACGATTTTACGTCAACCGCCACATAGATATACAAGGAAATGTTATGAAATGTTACGAAGACTAGTCTGATGATAATGGGGATGAGAACTGGTGAAAAACAAGTGAGAAAGTTATCATTTAGATACGGTTTCGGCTATGCATGGATAGCACAAGATGTTGTTGTAACAAGAACGTTTCTTTGAGAATTTTAAACGGCGTTGCAGACATTTATTATCAAGAATGGTATCAATATATAGCTTTTTTCCAAATCCTTGACGTTCTACTTTTAAAAGACAGTACCATATGTTTTTCTCTGCTCTCGAACAACGGACATCGCGAAATACATTCCATATTCGAAGGAGTTGGAGTTGTTTGTTATACTTGAATCTACAATTAGAGGTGAAACGCGATTTGTTATTACAGTGAGTGAGTGAGTTTAGTTTTACGACGTACTCAGCAGTATTCCAACTATATGGCGGCGGTTTGTAAATAATCGAGTCTGGACCAGACAATCCAGTGATCAACAGCATGAGCATCGATCTACGCAATTGGGATACGATGACATATGTCAACCAAGTCAGCGAGCCTGACCACCCGATCCCGTCAGTCGCCTCTTACAACAAGCATGGGTTACTGAAGATCAATTCTAAGCCGGATCCCATATGGCTGGAATATTGCTGAGTGCGGCGTAAAACTATACTCAATCACACTCACCCTGAGACTTGCAGTTTCTTCGGAAAATTTGTTTAGAGCGACCTAAACAGTGAACTTTGGTATATTTGGAAAATTTCTGTTTCCTTTAGAGCGACCTTAAACTCACGGCTCATTTTGCAATATTCCAGCAATATCGCGCGGGGGACACCAGAAATGACCTTCACACGTTGTACCCATGTAGGGAATCGAACCCTTGTCTTCGTCGTGACGAGCGAACACTTTAATCACTAGGCTACCCCACCGTCCCGCCCTTTATGATGATGTGCTTATCGTGGTGTCATTCTTCACCAGGACAGACAAGGTTCAGATCCGGGGGACCTACCAATACCACGACGTACATGACTGGTTCGAGAGGGAACCGTTCTCCGCGTTGTTCCATGCACCGTCGTCACGTAAGCATTTCATCGACACATGCATGACGTCACATTATTATATACGCTAAACGAATATTGACAGGCCCTATATGATGGCCAAAAGGTGTTCAACCACTATCTCAATCTGTTAGGCTTTCCTACTGAAATCAACTTGAACCAAAAATTAACTAAAATTTAATTATGAAAATTCAAGTTCTATTGGCAACAGTGTCTACGGAAACCCATTAGAGCCAGAAATGTATTTTCAAATCCGACGTGATGTCCAAATTCACATGCAAGGGCGTGGGTAAGTGAGTGCGTTTGGTTTTACGCCGCTTTTAGCAATATTCCATCAATATTACGGCGGGGGACACATAAATGGAATTCACACATTGTACCCATGTGAGGAATCGAACCTGGGTCTTTAGCGTGACGAGCGAACACTAGGCTACCCCACCACTCCTGCAATGCATGGTCCTGATGGACTTCCGTACTTTCTTCACCAGAACTCTCTGACTTTGTAATCGCTGCCTGTCATCTGAAGCCAGACCAGGCGAACCCCGAGATCGGCCACCTCGAGGACGTCTACACTGACATCTCCAGCCACTACAACAACATGGTTGGCAACAGTGCTTACGTTAAACTCTCCGTCGCGCGATGTTCACGCAAATAATTTCGAGTAAACCCGAGTCGAGATAAACATAACGTTTGTAAAGTCTAGTACTGACAGTAGGATATGTTTCCTGGTATAAACGTAACATACAAATGATATATATTTTTATTGTTTTTATCATCGGGAGCATGATAAATAAATCATATTCGTAATTGATAACTTTATAGCTTGGTTGGTCGTTTCGCTCGCTCGCTCATTCGTTGGTTTTAGCAATAACCCCGGAAGAGGGCTTCACATGTACCCATGTTGGGAGTCGAACCCAGACCCGAGGCATGACAACCTAGCTCTTAAACCACTAGACTATCGTAAATGGGGAGCTGTGTCTGTGTCGGAGCTTGCTCTTACTGATGAAGTGGTTTGACACCTGTACATCTCTTGTTTCCAGAATGTAATGTTCGATGGCGACTTTAACGCCGACTGCAGCTACCTGTCAGCGACGGCCCTGCTGCACAACCCCCTCTACAAGGACCACAGGTTCCAGTGGTTGCTGTCCAGCGCTGTAGATACCACCGCCAGTCACCACACCAACTGTGCTTATGATAGGTAGGCGGTACACCAACTGTGCTTATGATAGGTAGGCGGTAACCAACTGTGCTTATGATAGGTAGGCGGTAACCAACTGTGCTTATGACAGGTAGGCGGTAACCAACTGTGCTTATGATAGGTAGGCGGTAACCAACTGTGCTTATGATAGGTAGGCGGTAACCAACTGTGCTTATGACAGGTAGGCAGTACACCAACTGTGCTTATGATAGGTGGGGTGGTACACTAACTGTGCTTATGATAGGTGGTGGTGCACCAACTGTGCTTATGATAGGTAGATGGTGCACCAACTGTGCTTATGATAGGTAGGTGGTACACCAACTGTGCTTATGATAGGTAGGTGGTGCACCAACTGTGCTTATGATAGGTAGGCGGTACATCAACTGTGCTTATGACAGGTAGGCGGTAACCAACTGTGCTTATGACGGGCGGTAACCAACTGTGCTTATGATAGGTAGGCGGTAATGATCAGCTATGGCGGTACATCAACTGTGCTTATGATAGGTGGGTGGTACACCAAAGTGTGCTTATGATAGGTAGGCGTTAACCAACTGTGCTTATGACGGGTAGGGCGGTACATCAACTGTGCTTATGATAGGTGGGTGGTACACCAATGATATTGTGCTTATATGATAGGTAGGTGGTACACCAACTGTGCTTATGATAGGTAGGTGGTACACCAAGTGTGCTTATGATAGGTAGGTGGTACACCAACTGTGCTTATGATAGGTGGATGGTGCACCAACTGTGCTTATGATAGGTAGGTGGTACACCCCACTGCTCGTGATAGGTAGGTGGTACACCACACTGCTCGTGATAGGTAGGCGGAAAACCAACTGTGCTTATGATAGGTAAGCGGTCCAGAGATGTGATGTGACAGGTAGGCGGTGCACCAACTGTGCTTGTGGACCGTAAGCAGTGAATCAATGGTGCTTATGATAGAAGTAAGGCTGTACAGCAAACGTGTGACTTAGGCGGGACACTGTGCTAATGAAGGATGGTCGATAGTGCAAACGTGCTTATACATTAGATAGGAGGGACAGCAATACACACGATAGACAGGCAGTGCTTATGATAGGTTGGGAGCTTGTCTTTTAAACATGCATAGCTTACCATTTCATAGTTTCTGCCTGTATCCGTTGGATAAACACGACTAAATATTTATATTGACTCGGACTTTGTTGAATAGACAATATCGTCCAAGTAAGGTATATCTTTAATCGCTGAATATGTGTCTTCTTGTGATCTGTCTGTGAGTGAGTGTCTTCTGTCCAGGTTCGTGGTTGCTGGGTCAGCGTTCCAGGCGGCCGTCGTCCCAGGGAGCGCCACCGTGTACAACTTTGAGACCGCCCTCCGTCTTACATTTACTCAGGTAATACTGAAATAAGGATCTGGATTATTTAACAATAATATTCTGTTCCTGAAAAAACTGGGAAAATTATTTGTCCTTGGGGTTAACCCCAAAATATATCGTTAACTGGACAAAAATAATGTCTTGTGGATAAAAAAGGTGTTTTGCTTCTTCTTTCACGAATGTATATATATATATATATATATTTCCAGGTATGACTTAACTAATATCGAACGTAACTATCAACCTAAAATATTAATGGCCAGGTCCTTGCTGGGTTTAACTTCAGGGCAGTTCTGCTGTTAGGTTCAAAATACATTTAAAAAAACCTTCGAAATTATGTACAAAGTGTACAAAGTGGCTATCAAAATGGCAGCTTCTTTCTTTCTTCCAGTGTACACTTTTCATTGCAGTGGTTTGAATTCGGGGAATAGAGACAGAAAAGCGCCTGTCTAAAATGGGCTACGGAATTGATCGATAATGAAGTCAGTCACTGACCGGTATAAAACTTCCGATAGATGATCGTGGTCTGAAATGTTTTAACAAATCAAAACGATAAGTCAGGCTGAATAATGTGACGAAAATGCCATCTCAGGGGTTGTTGGAGTTTGGGTTACTTAAGAAGAAGATATATGGGTAAAGCATGGCAGCGTCCCGTGTTAAAGTACCCGAGTGTCGTAAGCAGCACCAGCGTCCCGTGTTAATCCCTGATACTGAAAATTATACTACCCTCGAAACTGGATGGTCCAATGCAATGGAGCAGTTTGTATTTCACAGACATGTTTCTGACGTCTCTTAAGTGTCAACATGCTGATAGTTTTACTAACGAACCACGGGACCGTTTCACAAAGCTATTAGGGCACAGTTGCCCCATACACCTGTATGGGGGGAGTCATTCTTGATTTAAACAGTTTTCAAGAAGATCGATAAATCACTGTAGACCATTAATTTTGACAATCATCTTGCATCACACGGTCGTTAGTGTTTTTTTTTGTTTTTTTTTGTTTTTGAAAATGAAAATGAAAATCGCACACATGCAAATTTCACGTCATACACCAATCATCTTTCTAGAGCGATTACTGTACAAACCACTATGGTCAAACGGAAGTGCAAATGGTGATGCGCTCTCTAAACATGCATTATTATCATATCAATATTGATTGACTCCGATATATCTCCCATTTTTGCAGTCGTAGATTAAAATGAGGGTTCCCTTACTTTTTCATGAGTATAGCCCTCTGTGTACGACATCATTTTCTTAGTTGCTGTTACACCATGCTTTCACGCTCCCCGTCCCCATTGTGTAATGGCTGTATGCCGATGGTTTACAAATAAATAAAATGATATAGAGTCTTAATATGGAATGTTTAATTGAAGTATTGCAACAAAGTTTTGCGAACATAATAATGAAGGTAATAGTAGGGCTGTGACGGGTAACCCGGATACCCGGGACGGGTGGGTAATGAGTTGCACCCGGGTACCCGTCTCAATACCCGGACCCGTTATGATCATGTGACTAATAGATTAAACAATGTAATATGTTATTCTTTCATGATTAAAATGTTGTATTGTCTTTGTAGATTTAGACATAATTACAGTCACCTCTTTTGAATATAATACATGGTTAATATATTGAAAAACTCCAAGCTGAGGAATATGTTGCCATTTCTACAAATTTGATGTCAGGAATTAACATAATGGGTATCCGGGTAGGGTGGGGTAATAGTGGGTGGGGTACCCGGGATAAACATTTGGACCCGTCCCAGCCCTAGGTAATAGTATAACATGATGTTCATGGCCAGTGATGTTTGTTTCAACAGAATGCACGTCAAATCTCTTCAGTGCAGTAAGTAATTATTGTTACTGCATGTCAGTGATTCATTCAGATTCAACTCCAACGTCAATATAATTGAGTGAGTGAGTGAGTGTAGTTTTACGCCGCTTTTAGCAATATTCCAGCAAATTCACGGCGGGGGACACCAGAAATGGACTTAACTCATTGTGCCCATGTGGGGAATCGAACCCGGGTTTTCGGCGTGACGAGCGAACGCCTTAACCACTAGGCTACCCCACCGCCCCCAACTTCAATATAAACATGTGTTGACATGAACTATTGCAAAATGAAACAAAACATGATTTTGGTAACTACTTAAGCTTAAAATCGCATGTGACCTCCAGTAACTAAGATCCTTGACTAGAATGTCATTATACAGTCCTAAAAAATTTATAAGACTTAGGCCTTTATGATAACTTGATGACATATGTCCTGTTATGAAACAAACAAAAATAACAAAATAATGTCAATTGTGAAATGGTCACTCAGAGCCAGAGGCCCTACTAATAAGTCCAAAAACAAAACTGGTCCATTTGAGGTCACTTAATTCCTCCAAACTGTCACATATGAAACCATTGTAACCCACAAAAAGCATTTGGTAGAATATTTGGCAGTTTTGGTGCCACTTATAAAGACACTTCCACTTGTAAAATGTTACATGAAACCAACAGAAATATAAGTACATTAACTGTGGCACTTTTAGAGCACATTTTGTTGCTATCGAAATCAAGGGCAGATAATTCAAAGGGAGCTAACTCTGAATGACCCAATATATTAAAGAATCTGAGTCATATAGCAATAATCGTATCGCGAGATACTGTACCGGTATATACCGGTTTACCGGTAATATTGCACAGCCCTAAAAGCTATCGTACCGCTACGACTGTCGCAAATCCCAAACTTTAACATAGACTTACGACGGTCGTAGCGCTACGATAGCTTTGTGAAATGGGGCCCTGGGCCTGGTTTTTTGAACTCTTAGCGCTAAGATAGCCGTAAAGTGCCATACATTAACATGAACCTACGACTATCTTAGCGCTAAAGAGCTTCGAAAATATATATAAACCAGTGGTTCCACAAACTGTAGCGCAAACAGGGGCGCTCGCATGTAGGAAGACTGCGCAACCCCATTTGCGCTACAGTTTGCCTATGCCTAAATCGTTCGTAACGCTACGACACAGCCGTAAGTCTGTGTTGTTGCACGGGAGTTACGATCACCTTAGCGATCGCTTTGTGGAACGGGAGCCCTTACACAAGGAAAACCAATATCATTGGATTCATCTCAAATAGGTCAAAAGATAAACGCCATATCTTAAAAATAATACCCCATTTTCATCCTAAACATTTTCCTGGGAATGCTGGTGTACCCACACTCGTTAGTCAGGCCAAGGGCTCAAGTTCGATACCTCACAATGTGTGATTAAAATTGTTAGTGTCCCCGCCGCTGGTCTTCAAACCATACTCACTCACTCACCTCTCACTCATATGCGGTTAAAAGTGGTTAAACGCTCGTCACGCCAAAGTCCCGGGTTCGATTTTCCACATGGGTATAATGTATGAAGCCAAATTTTGTGTGTCCCCGCCGTGATATTGCTGGTATATTGGTTAAAGCGGCGTAAAGCCAAACGCGTGGCTCACTCACTCATTCACCTATATGTTTTGTTTCAGGCTTGGGACGTCAGCGACCATTACCCGATCGAGATGAAGCTTAAATCAGCTTGAGCAAGGATATCGTGTGACCAGGTTTTCTACAAATGAAATAAAAAAACATCTTCTTAATAACCTCAGAGTTCTATACACAGCTTGCTGCAACACAAGCCGTGGGACCCTTGTAACATGCTTAGGTCCAACTGGAAAAAATAATACTAATCCCAGGAATTTTAATTACAGTACAACCAGAAATTATTGAGAATTTAAAGATTGTAATTTTTTTTCACTCATTACTCACGTATTAATGTGAATATTAGCAGAACATAACTCCAGATTCAAAGACAGGTGAACAGTTAGTATTTTGTCAAGTCACCATGGGCAGCAATGCAGGCTTCAATGCGGCGGGGCATACTACTGATCAAAGAAGTTAGAAAGTCGTGGTCCATGCTGTTCCAATATCGGACCACCTCTTCTTTCATTTCAGCAATATTTGTCAGATTTTTCTTATTGACACGTTCCTTCATAAGTCCCCAAACATTTTCTATTGGATTTAGGTCAGGGCTATAGCTTGGCCAATCTAATAATGTCATATTTTGGGTCCGAAACCAGGCCTGTGAATGCTTTGAACGATGTTTTGGGTCGTTGTCCTGCTGGAAAATCCAAACATTTCCATAGAACACGTGAACAGATGGAAGTAAATGTCCCTCGAGAATATCTGTGTAGCGCTCACTGTTCATATTCCCTTCAAATACACAGAGGGGCGTTGCCCCTAACACAGATATGCCACCCCACACGTTAAATTTCGGACTGTACTTTGGGCGCTGATACAAAGGTTTTTCAGTTTGTTTGGTCCAGAATTTCAGTGTATTAGGAAACAGCCACACAGAACTTTCATCTGAGAAAATCACATTGTCCCAGTTAAAATTTCTATGCTGTAAGCACCAGTTCAACTTTCGCTCCTTTTGTTCAGGTTTTCATGATCGGTGATGGAATTCCTCGACTTTTCTGCCAACCCATTGCATGTAGCTCAGTTCTAATTGTCTCCTTACAGACAGCCAATTCCTCTAGCAATTATATCCAGCCTTAAGTTTTCTAAACTCCTTCGATGTTTTAGAAACAAGAATACCAAGCCGCCTCCTGTCACCGACAGTCAATTTTCTGGGCTTACCTGTGCCTCCCTGGTGCTCAATGCCATATCGATTTGCAATATTTCCAAAACACGATAAACAGTGGACAAAGGGATGCCTGTTCTGCTTGAAATCACTTTAGCTGATCTGATGTTCTTGTTATAATACTCTAAAATCAACTTCCTCTTCTCTAAATCATCCATACTGAGGATCACTGAAAATGCCGTCTGCTAGCAAGTAAACAAAGGGGATAACTCTTCACAAACTAATGAAAAAGGATTAACGGAGTTGACTCTCTTGAATGAAACCAAGCACTTGATAGCTGGTCAAAGGTTGTTTATACTAGCACTCCAATTAAACATATTCCTAAAATTCTCAATAATTTCTGGTCATACTATATCCACAAACCTTATGTTTTGCTTGGTTGGCATTTTTGGTCAAAAATTGCTTATATGATGTTAATTTAAAATATCGAGGTGGGAACAGAAAGTTTGGCATTATGACGTCACTACCGTTGAATAACCTAGTTTGGTTAAACAATACTCGTTGGATAACTTCCAACTGGTTACACAACACCTGTTTCAAACAACCAAACTTATCTCGTAAAGATATTCAGAACACGTGTGTAATACAACGCAGTCACCTGCTAGAAGACAAGGCTCTGTGAAAAACTACCTTTCATTCCAGCCCTTCCGACTAATTTGGGACACCTGGTTCTCTAGGTCGCACCCAAATCGTGTCAAATATGTGGAACAGCTCTTGCCTGAATTATCAACATATGATAAGATAAATCAAAACATAGTTTGGGGATCGTGGTTATTCCATATTATATTATCTTTTCATTTTGCTATGAAATGTGAACAGAAATTATCGATAGATAGAGTTAAACACAATTTATGGTTTACGCCAAATACCAAACATATTGGCGGTTGATCAAGTTCATTCCAGACACTGAGAGAGTAGCAGAGAGAGAGTTTCATTTGAATTACACATGAATTGAGCAGGTTCGTAGTTAAAACGTTCGCTTATCATACAAGTTAGAATTTGCATTTAACACAAAGCTTGTCGTAAGAGGCGACTTACGGAATCTGGTGGTCAGGCTCGCTGACTTAGTTGATACATGTCATCGACTTAAAAAATACGACAAACAAGGCTCGTTTCCTGCAAAGCCATCGTAGCGCTAAGACTGTCGTAAGCTTGTGTTAGAGGGCCCTGTTTCACAAAGCTTTCGTAGCGCTACGACTGTCGTTAGTCTTTGTTACAGTATAGGAGGTGCGAATGCTACGAGAAAAGTTACGAGATCTTAGGCTTACGAGAGCTTTGTGAAACAGGGCCCTGGACCTGGTTTCTGACGACCAATTGTTCACATGGGTAACTATTTATTTATTTATTTATTTATTATGAGGTCCACACTGCAGTGGTATACTGATGACACTAATAAACGCATTAAGAAGCATGACTGTGTGATTAAATGACTTTGTGTTTGATGATCTCATGCATAAATACACAGAACAACCTAGTGTGATTTCTGTAGCTATTCGGTCAAATACTAAAAATCACATTCCTGTATACAAAGTTGGTGCAATGAGACCCATGAAGATCTAGGTTAGAACTGGTCTTCAGGAATCCATGCTTTTGGTTCTATTCTGTATAAAGCCCAACCTACACATACTGCTGTAGTCTGTCTCACAGTCCCTGAACCACATTATTTCCCGGACTGTCAAGCCCTCTCTGCAATGCTAAAGCCCTATATATGAATAGCACAGGGGCTGTCACGCTTAGAAACAGTGTTAGAAAGACATATAGAATATAGACCCTATCCTAGTACCATATAAAAGGATCCTTTTATATAGTACCAGGGGTAGGGTCTATATACCTATATGTCTTTCTAACGCTGTTTCTAAGCGTGACACGCCCCTGTGAAATGAAGCACATCTAGTTTCTGAATCTCCGGTCTCCCTGGGCTCCTTTTTAATTTAGATGGATTTGTTTGTTACTATCAAAATAATATATAATCAGAAACTAAGCTGCTAGTCTAGATACTGCTGCTGTAAGGCTGCCTACACTGTCTTCATGGGGTCTCACTTCAGGCAAGTGAGTTTGTTACAAATTGCCTCTGTTCACCCAGCAGAATATGGGTACCTGGTGGGATGTCATGTGACTAATAACCTAGCGCCTCACTAGCAGGTTGGGTTATCCGGGTAATAATAGTCATATAATAGTGAGCATTCACCTTGTGAATGGAGTCTAGCCTTTATGAATGCACAGTTATTATCATTATTATCTTCCCTTGTATTCCTGGTCACGCGAAGGGATGTGGGCTTCCTTGTCCACTTAGTGAAGATCTGGGTTAGAATTGATCTTCAGCAACCCATACTTTTTCCTAAAAGGCGCCTGACAAGATAGAGTGGTCAGGTTTGCTGACTTGGTCTCTGCGTGTCATTCTATTACAATCGTGTAGATCAATGTTCATAACGTCAATCATTAGATTGTTTCATCCAGAATCGATTTATTTATTGCTGCCATATAGCTGGAATATCCCTGAGTTCTGCATAAAATAAACAATCAAATATTTATGGATAATTGCTGAAAGCTGCATTAAACAACAAACAAACAATATCAGTGCAATGAAAATCAATGTTTTTCTCTCAGGCCACATTCAGTCAGCCACAGTGCAATAAAAACCAACAAACTCAACACCTTCTATTAAACTTTATTGCTAATCATAACATAATTCATTCATCTACAGATCAGCAATGCATTTTCAAATCTCCAATTTCCATGCAAAATTGAAATGTACACAAATCTGAGTCTGACCAATGTACATATGGTATTGAGCTCAACAAGATTACAGAATATCTTCTTCTGAACATTTGTTCTCCAAAGTAAACAGATGAATAATTTAGTGATAGATGACATCATGGTGATAGATGTTATAAACATTAGTTCTGCAAACAAACTGAAAAGTACTAAACAGTCAAACAGGTATCGATTTCAATGATTTATTTAAAACTAAATTTAAATGAAGTTACTTGACATTATATTGACTAATTCCATTCTTGGTCAAGGCACAATTAATGTGTGAAAAGTGCGTTTGCATCTTCTCCCCTGTCTCAGCGAGTCCCCCAAGGTTTACACAGGAAACTGGTCATGATGAGGGTGTTTGAAGAAACAGGGACAAAACCACTGAAGCTTAGCTTCACACATTATGTAGAACGGCCTAAACTCTGTGTCATGAAGTGTTTAACCCTACTGGCAAAACAAGGATAAGTTGGACCGGTGCACAGAAAATGTTTACGAGAAGAAGGTGATGCACGGCAATGGGCAAACTTATTTGGTTTGTGAAAGGTAGAGCAGATGTAGGCTAGTGCATGTGCATAGCATGATGTTGAAATTGATTACTTGCGTAGCTGCACACGCCTTGCTCATAAGACTCTCATGTTGGTGTAGCAAGTCGCACTACACTTGATCGCGGACAACATGGGGCCCCTTAGCTCACAATGGCAAGCGCCAGTGGGCGGCACTCCTACATGCTAATATGGGTCAATTGTCGGTCGGTGCTCAACTTATCCTTGTTTGCCAGTAAGCTTGCTTCCCTCTCCCAACAGAGAAAACAAAAATAACCCAGTATACACTGGAAATCAGCAAAGCAACAGGCCTCAACATTCCCCCCACCATTACTTGTAAAGTGAGTGAGTGAGTGAATTTAGTTTTACACCACTTTTAGCAATACCCCAGCAATATAACGACAGGGGACACCAGAAATGGGCTTCACACATTACTTATACAGATAAATACAGGTAAGTTTGGGGTCAACAGTAATAACCTTATAATTTCATTCAACTGGCTTATGAGACAAACACACAAAAAGGCCCAGCAATTAGCTAAAACATACCATGACTAATGCCAATGGAATTTTGCCTGTTGTACAATTAGATGAATGAAAAGAATATATTGTATCACTGCTTTTGCCTATAAAAATCTTCCAACGAAAAACAACCTTTCACATTTAGTCTGTCTCACACTGTGACAGTCCCTGAACCAAATTATTTTCCCTTTTGTCAAACCCTTTCTGCAAAATAAAAGAAAAGTAAGTCTAGATTTCTTCAGGTCCTCTGAGTTCACTGGGGCTTCTTGTCAATTAAAATAGAGTTATTTGTTTGCATCAAAATTTTACATATTCGGTGACAAAGTGTTAGTCTAATTAACATACAGTATAGTTTTGTGACCATACTTTAATAATTTGATGTAATTTTGTTTTCTGTCAATAATAAGAGTACTCATCTGGAACATGATATTTCACAGCTGACAAGTTAGGGTTGAATATTCTGTACGTCAAAATACAAAATACATGGCCTTGTAAAGACCTTACGGAAGATGAACTCTGAAAATATTGAGACAAAACAACATGGTCAATGCAATGACAATAATTATGATTGAGGTTTAAATATTACTGACTGCACTAAGTCAGTGTATGAAATAAGCCAAAAACCCAGCCAGACATCAGGGCTGGTAACTTCAAAATGTTACCAGCCCAAAATGGATTTAACCAGACCAGACACCAAGATAAAGTGAATTTACTCAGGTGTATGAAACATCTAAAAAATTTACCAGACCATGGGCTGGCAAGCTGAAAATGTAGACTGTCCATCAGAAATCTAGCCCGTCTGGGGTGGTCCGAAGGGCCTTATTTCATACACTGACTAAGTGATAAATATTTTGTAAATACCGTATCAGGATTTCCAGCACATTGATTCGGGACTATTAAAATCATGAGCTTGAGTACACTGATATATCAAAGCTACCTTGGTAACTCTGACAAGTAATAAATGTTACATGATTTATAGCCAAAGTTTGATGCAAACCAACATAAGGATAGTTGGACTAGAAGCTCTAAGGAATATACTGCCATACAACATGGTGTTGTTGCAGACTGAAAGGTGGAAGCATTTCAGACATCTTATTATGGTGAGTGATTATGGTCTTTAGCACTATTCCAGTAATAGTGAGTGAGTGAGTTTAGTTTTAGGCCACACTCAGCAATATTCCAGCTATATGGCGGCTGTTTGTAAATAATCGAGTCTGGACCATACAATCCAGTGATCAACAGCATGAGCATCGATCTGCGCAATTGGGAACCGATGACATGTGTCAACCAAGTCAACGAGCATGATCACCCGATCCCGTTAGTCGCCTCTTACGACAAGCATGGGTTACTGAAGATCAATTCTAACCTGGACCATTCACGGGTTATTCCAGTAAAATCGTAGTGGAGGACACCAGAAATGGCTTTCAGAGATTGCACCCATGTGGGGAATCAAACCCGGGTCTCAGCATGATGAGTGAACACCTTAACCACAGGGTACCCCACCATCCCACTAGAAGGGGAACGTTTGCAATGCTATACTGCCACATGCATCCCATTAGGATGAGACAGACTGAAAATATTGTCATAAAGTGCCCAATGAGCATCTCATAAAGATAGGTGTGAAGTCCATTTCTGGCATCATCACCCGCCGTGATATTGCTGGAATATTGCTAAAACCGGCGTAAAACCATACTCACTCAGATGGCTATTTCAGATTTGTGGAGGAATAGTGACCCTTGAACATCAATAACTTTAATCGGATAACCTTTCTGATGTTCAATGCAGTGTTGTGAAAACAGACACATTTTAGGGGCAAAGACGAATTTTGTAAGTAAACATGACAACAACATTAAGTATAGACAGTGAAAATTATAGCAAGACACTTCGAAATACATGTCTTAAAGTCAATGATGAGACACTTGGGCAGAGGATCACTTACTGGAAAAGACACAATAGTATAAACAAGTTATCCTATCCAGAAACTACTACATGTAATATTACTTCCCAATAGGACGGACTGAGAGCTCAAAGGCAACTAAACAGACTTGTTTAAATACAAGGCCATAGCTGATATTCTCTTAAAGGGAGGTAATTCTAGAGGCTTTAAGGGCCCAATCAGGGTCTGAGATTTTTTAAAGGGATAGTTCTCAAAGGAAGCTGTAAAACCTGATGCTTTAAATATGACTGTATACATTCTGTCATGAGTGAGTGAGTTTGGTTTTACGCCGCTTTTAGCAATATTCCAGCAATATCACGGCTGGGGACACCAGAAATGGGCTTCACACATTGTACCCATGTGGGGAATTGAACCCGGGTCTTCGTCGTGACGATCAAACGCTTTAACCACTAGGCTACCCCACTGCCCCGATTCTGTCATGGTCATGATAGATTAACTACAGTCATATTAAAATTAAATCAGTGTTCTGTAACTTCTTTTAAGCAATATATAATTTTTGCAGTAAGTGCTTAAAAACAAAATGTTTTCTTTGAAAAGAGTCAAACAATTTGTTCTTGAAACACATCAGAACATCCTGCATATCCAGTGAACAATCTTTTATTGATTTCAATTTCTGATAAATTATAAAACAAAACAAATGCATCTCATGCATACCATCCCTTAAGAATAGAAGAATAATTCATAATGTTTTACTGGAATGACAGAAAATTGGGTTGTGATGAAATATACATCATAGTATTTCTTATCACATGAGTATGATTGACAAGATACCTGATAAATGGTATATATCTTGAAATCTAAAACAAGTATATCATAGAAATTAATTATAATCACTGTAATTGTGTTGATGCTAAACTCAATGCCCATTTCAACATATTTGTGGTGATGCCAAACCCGAGTCATTTACATCCATAAATAACCTATTAAAATTAAAAAAATACAGTAAGAATGATTATAAAGATCTCAGCCAATAGTTAAATGACAGAATAATACTTATGGTAAGAAAAACTGAATTCTCACTGTTGCTTCTCCTTCAGACTTATAAGGAACAAAGTGCAGACCCTAAAATGGACTGTACACTGCCCTTTCCTGCAGATATAGTGAGTGAGTGAGTTAATATTTAACGTCACATCGGCAATATCTCAGCCATATCGTGACGACCCTGCATATATACATATTGTGAGTCAGTGAGTGAATTTGGTTTGAAGCAGTTTTGGAACTGTGATAGTGAGATGCGACAGAAAACACTCACCAAAATGATGCTAACGAATTAAATATCATTTTGGTGAATTCACAGCACTGGTCTTGGCTTCCAACAATCAGAGGCATCACCAAGGCAATGTAACTCTTCTACTTACACAAGATGATCATGTAAATGTTAATAATATACTACTTACAATTTACCCATGTGTGCTTCTACAATTAGCAGCCCTTCATGGAGAGATGGTCCTTGCAATAAGGGCTTCTACGCTTAGCTGAACTGCTCCTTGCACTGGACATAGTCCTTACAATAAGGGCTTCTACACTTAGCTGAACTGCTCCTTGCACGGACATAGTCCTTACAATAAGGGCTTCTACGCTTAGCTGAACTGCTACACTCTGTTCCTTGCACAGACATAGTCCTTGCAAAAGGGCTTCTACACTTAGCTGAACTGCTCCTTTGCACGGACATAGCCCCTTAAAATTGAACTGCTCAGCATGAACTGCTCTTAGCCTTGCACGGACATAGTCCTTACAATAAGGGCTTCTACACTTAGCTGAACTGCTTAGCTGAACTGCTCCTTGCACAGACATAGTCCTTACAATAAGGGCTTCTACAGCTTAGCTGAACTGCTCCTTGCACAGACATAGTCCCTTACAATAAGGGCTTCTACACTTAGCTGAACTGCTCCTTGCACGACATAGTCCTTACAATAAGGGCTTCTACCTTAGCTGAACTGCTCCTTGCACGGACATAGTCCTTACAATAAGGGCTTCTACACTTAGCTGAACTGCTCCTTGCACGGACATAGTCCTTACAATAAGGGCTTCTACACTTAGCTGAACTGCTCCTTGCACGGACAAAGTCCTTACATACTGAGACACTAGCCCAACATTAAGTTAGCCACCCACTCTAATAAACTGTATATATACAAGAGAACATATCTGCTGATTTGGTGACCACAGAAATGGAGATGAAGTCTCTCCTACAATAAAACTTTGAATGGCAAAATGGTTCCGGATATTTATTGTTTAAAAAGTAATAGCACAAGCTTTCCCAATTCTCATTAATATGAAGACAAACCTATACATAATGTCTCGTGTTCTCCACATACGGGATGAAAACTGGCAAATTGTTCAGCAATATTTCCTGTTCTAATGATCATTTAAGATCACTGACATACCAAAAACTAACCTTGTCTTGTTGCCAATGTACAATAAACAGTTACCACTGTCATGTTGTGAAGGCAACGAAAGGCAGAGGACATATTAGACGACCTACTAAACTATCTGCATTTGCATAATTGGTTCTCATGAAACTTTATTTTCCCTTTGTACAATGCTCTGTTGCCAACTCCTTGCCAAAATACAGTTCTTTCAAATTGGTACAAGCATTGAAGCTACTAGTTTACCACACAATGAAATGTGTAGGCTATCACAAAGTGGCAGACATGGGTTTGTGACGATCCACAGCTATATCTGGTGGGGGTACGAGAAAGACAAGGGTATTGGGCCACACGTTTTGTGTTTCTGGTTTATGGATTTGACTGAGGAGCCAACCAACCAGAACACTAAATAAAGATTAGAATTTACTCTGAAAGGTTCAAACCACTGACTTTCCCTTCTCTAAGCAGACACTCAATCCAATAGTGAGTGAGGTTTTTTTTACGCCGCACTCAATACTATTTCAGCTATATGGCGGCAGTATGTAAATAATCGAGTCTGGACCATACAATCCAGTGATCAACCATGAACATCGATCTTCGCAATTGGGAACCGATGACTTGTGTCCACCAAGTCAGCGAGCCTGACCACCCGACCCCATTAATCGCCTCTTACGACAAGCATGGGTTACTGAAGATCAATATTCTAACCCAGACCTTCATGGGTACAATCCAATAGACCATGACGGCAGCAAAATGAGAGAAGTAGACACATTACTGTCAAAACAGAACTGATTTTCTTAAAACCTGAAGTAGGTCTTATATTCTTCCTTTTATCGTGACAGAAATAACTTTATGCCAAAAGAAAAGAGCTACTTAGCAGCATAGAATATTTTAATCTTCCAGCCATTTGGTTATTGACAGAGTTGGAATTTTTTATTATATCAGGGTGGATTGGTGTACGTGTGTGAGTGAGTATGGTTTTACGCTGCTTTTAGCAATATTCCAGCAATATCACGGCAGGAAATGGGCTTGACACATTGTACCCATGTGGGGAATCGAGCCCGGCTCTTCAGCATGACGAGCCAACGCTTTAACCACTAGGCTAAACACCCACCCCCCGGATTGGTATAAACTCTGTAAACCATTAAACACAAAGAAGTGTGGCCCAGGGTGTTGGAGGGTGCTGGTCACTCAAATCCAGTCTGTAATGCATGGTGAGATCATCAAATGCCGTATCAGTATCACACAGGAAAATAGCATCGGTATCTATGTACAACTAGCTACAACTACAAACATGTCACATCCAAATTATCGGCATCATGTAAGTTGCCAGTCTCAGCAAATTTATCTGTTTTAAAGCATCTGTAATGTGTCATATATATATCGGTTGTTAGGGTCTTCATTAGGGCTGCGCAATATAACCGGTTTACCGGTATTTACCAGTTTAGACATGAAAACATACGTATTGCGATACGCTGATCGAAAACCGGTATTTTGACTTGCATTCGGAAAACTTTGTAACACTCGGAAATGTTAGGATTTGTCCTTGTTTCATTTGTGCCAAATATTATTCACATTTTTATTTTATCATGATTAAAAGTTGTTATTAAAGCTTAATCAAGCCTAGTGATTTTGTTGTGTTTTTGCTCTATAAATCAAGAAGTAACTCGATTATAAGTAGTTTTTTGTTTAAAAATACTTCATGCAATATATTGCAATACATATCGCAATACATGCTTTCGCATCGCAATATGAAAATTCTCTGATATACCCACCCCTAGATTTCATGATATGCAATAAACAAGATTATGGGAATTATGTTTACAGCTGTGTTTACGTATTGATGGTTCATATGAACACATTATTTGTTTGTTTATTTTCAGCTGCACTCAGGAATATTCCAGCTATATTCCAGCTATATGTAAATAATCGAGTCTGGACCAGACAATTTGGTGATTGACATCATGAACATCGATCTACGTATTTGGAATACGATTACGTGTCAACCAAGTCAGTGATGCTGAATATTCCAGCTATATGACGATGGTCTATAAATAACTGAATCTGGACCAGACAAGCCATTGATCAACAGCATGAGCATCTGTCCACACAATTGGGATTTGATGACATGTGTCAATCAAGTCAGCAAGCCTGAATGAACATAATAATTGTGTGTAATGAGTGTGTAATAAGTGTGAGGATGGTATTATATCAGTTTACTTAAAATCAGTTTATTTAAAATGGCAGAACATATCAAAATTGGGTTTGCAAATGGTGGAAATTGAACCGGATTAGTATGAACACTTAACCTACACCATGACACAATTGAACTTCTGGAGTCACTGCATTGCCAAGCAGCATCTCCTAATCTTTGAGAAACACACAGAACAATAGTGAGTGAGTGAGTGAGTGAGTTTAGTTTTACTCCGCTTTTAGCAATATTCCAGCAACATCACGGCAGGGGACACCAGAAATGGGCTTCACACATTGTACCCTTGTGGGGAATTGAACCCGGGTCTTTGATGTGACGACCGAACGAACGCTTTAACCACTAGGCTACCCCACAGAACAATAGGTCTTACAACTTATTCATATCCTACCTTATTTAGTTGAGATTTATCTTCCTAAACACGAAAATAATTACAAAGGAACGTCCGTTATTAGTGATCAAGTTGATATTGTTTTGTGACAATGGTAGTAATTGCTTTCTCTAGAAATAGAAGGACATCTCATTTGACTGATGAATGGAAACTGACAAATATTTATCTCGGATGTTAATGAGTCAAAAATTCAATGCATTTGGTGAATGACCTTCGTCCTTGGTTTAACAAACACAAAACATCTAACACTTATCTTACCCAAAGACATCCTTAAACAACATTGTTCTTACATCGTTACCAAGGTAACAAATAAAATCACTAAACAGTGTAAAAACCCTAACAAATCCATCTGCTGGATGTCAAAGGTCAAAGGTCAAATGTCAAAGTTCAGGCATTTTCGTTACAACAGAAAATACAAAGGTGTATTGGAACAATACACATTGCATACCAGACGAGTCAGCTCTGTATAGTAATCAAATCTTGAAAAATTCTCGATCACATACTGTAAAAAGTGCTGCATAGACAAAAAACAGGTTAGTTCTGATGTCATGGTGATGGGATATGTACTTCATCCCATTTTGATCATCCTGGCTTCCACGGGAGATATTGCTTTGATGAGACTGATAGTGTTTCCATGGAGATATCACCAATAAATTAATTTGTACCAATAAATTGGCACCTATAAGAATATGTCTGATCCATCTTTAAAATCATATTTCACAAGTGAGCTTGATAATAAGCATTTCTTTTTTAAAAAGTTTAACAAATTTAGATTGATTTACACTTTCTGTTATCAAATCCATCACTATATTTTATTTAACACAGCACACTTTGGAATGTTCCTCATTGCGAATTTATCTGCCCCATTAGTTGCAAGGAATATATTTCTTCACACGAAATATGACTTGAAAGTGTGCCCGATGGCACCAGGATCTTACTTTAACTGTTATGATTATCACACCAAAGACTATCTATTGTCATGTGTCAAGCATATATATTTTTCTTACAACGAAGGATGATTTCAAAGTGTGCCCTTTGGCACCTGGAACTAATTTTACAGATGCCATTACGATCTTAACCATGCAAGTGACACTCTATTGTCCATCATTACTCCCATTTAGTTGTGCCGAGCACATATATTTCTTAAAATAAAATATGATTTCAAAGTGTGCCCTTTGGCACCAAGAAGAAATTTTAACCGTGCCATTATAATAATCATCAAGCCAGTAACTCTGATGCCAGGAAGTTAAAATGGGATGCAGTTACAGGAACCACACATAGATGCTGCTGCCAAATGTCAAGTTCATTGTAACAAGGTCGAGACGAAGTATGTTCATAAACATCCTCATGGACACAAACATTAAAGAAGTCACTTGGAGAGATTCCACACTTGATATGAGTTGAAAAAACGTTACAAATCTAGAGGCAAATCTGCCTCAAAATGATGGCAGTTAAAATATTCAGCAGTGATGCTATCTAAGCGCCCTTTCTTTGAGTACAAGGATTGCTAACCATTCATGTAGGAAGGCGTTTCCTATTCTCGCGGTACTTACGGATATCGGCTGAAAAAATAATTCTAATCGTATTCATGATAGTTGTTTTTAAATGAAGGGCCTTCTCCTCTAACATCTGCATCTATCAGCTGCTACATCCATCAGGTGAATTACCACTCGTGAGCCCGGTGATAAACAATGCCATCCACCATTGACGAAACGAGGCTTCTACCATTCTCGCGGTATTACCAGGAATTAATGTTATTGAGTGTATGTAAGAGCAATCCTGCCGGGAAAGGCGGAAAAAGTAATGATATGTCCCAAGTTGGTATAAACTCCCCAATATTCGTGACACTGCAAGATTTTGATCACTCACAGACTTGGGCCACTTCCTAGTTACAAGTTGGTGATGTAAACAACCGCTAAGTGTCGCGCATCGGCGATTTTGGCAGAAAACGTGTTTACCGCGAGAATAGGACCTATATATGCTTGGGAACCGAAAGCAAAGAAAGGGACTACTTAGACAGAGAAACAGCATAGATAGGGTGGATTTTTTTGCATATCATTAACAAGTCCAAATGTGTTTTTATACGAGTAAGACCATGTGACAATATGGTAAAAAGTAAACTTGTTACCATGGTAACAATCATGAAATCAACGGTTACGTCATGGTAATAATCACCGTGTTTCTATCAATGTGACATGATGAAAAATGACAATCATGACTTTGTTGAATAAAACCTGATCTTGCACCGTAACGGCATGTATTTTATAATTATCAAAACATTCCACAGGACACAAGGACTGCACATATATGTCAAGGTAGATATCATTATCATGATGTTTTAACAAACATCTGAAAAACACTTGGACCAAGAAAGGATATGTCTCCACAGGGTGTTGTAAGGCACAAATCCTGTTCAGTTGTCGGAGATAAACAAACACCAGGCCGACTTGGTTCATTAGTTGCTTTTGCAAATCACATCGAAGTACCAATCAAAATATGAAAGGGTTTAACATTTTTGCATATTTTACACATAACATTTTTTTATCAGTCATTATATTTTTCATTATAAATGGGTCAATGAAAGGTCACTTAACAGATGCTATTTTATGGTTATCAACACCTTTTCTAGTCTGTTTGGCTCAAAAGCGGACCGATGAATTGCAATCTAACTCGAAAACTACTAAACATATAATAATCGATGAAACACTGATCACAATCAAAACATCAGACCAACTCTGTGTTTTTTTTGCAGAATTTATGTCCTAAAACAGGAACACAGGTGTATGCGAAGCACGTGCACACGTGCCGACAAAGTTATTGATTTATCTGTGCTGTGCCGTCTCCATCCGTTCTCTAACACTTGGCTGTCCCTTTCTCTGCACTCCTCCCTTGTAACAAACAGTGAACTGTGTCAAAATTTTAATGATAGTTTGTTAAACAACATTTTTTATTTTTAGGACATAAATTCTGCAAAACAATCACAGAGTTGGTCTGATGTTTTGATTATGATCAGTGTTCCATTGAGTATTATATGTAGTTTTGAGTTAGATTGCAATTCATCAGTCCCCTTTTGAGCCAAACGGACTATAGAAATAGTCTAACTGACAAACTGATGCATGATGCTATCAAATCTTCTCATGACAGTGATACATAAGGCCCCCAGTTTTTCAAATTTCTTTAAACTTCGAACAAATTATTGTGACAAATAATATTTCATGTGAAATCGTGATGAATAATATTTCATACAGAACAAAGGAGTGTTCCAAACTTATACGAGAATGCTTCCACCCTGAGATAACCTTTGTTTCATCATATGCTATTTGAAAGAAGGTAAATAACACCAAAGTTTTCCTATGACTGAGGTAAGTGTCTTATAACTGGTACGTATTGCAACACACTCTCTTCCAGTTGCCATGATTGTAGGAAATCTTTACATGCTTTGAGTAGCATATTCATAAAAACAAAGCATGAACAACCATACGATGCTTATAACATGGGTGGGTGAGATATGGTAGGGAAATGATAACAGTCACAATTTTCATTCTTCTGTCACCGTCAGTATGATCAGAACACAGCTCTTACAGTCAAACATTCTGCATGTGTGAGAATGATCATGACGATATTTTCTCTCTTGGAATATTCCTGTCATCTGTACCCAATGAGCATGGTGAATCCAACCCGAGCAGTCAATGAGTCTATGTCTAACCATGCCAACTACTTGTTCGTCCCATCTCCGTAAATTACTTTATAAAATAAAAAACAAAGAAACAAACACTGACAGACAATTTCTGAACAATTAACATCTTTGTGTTGAGGAATTGTACACATACCCTCAACATGAGGGCATTGACAGTTTGTCAAATCTACTTCACAAAAATGATAAAAACATACATTCACCAAATCAACTTTATCAACAACACTTCAAACTAATTGGTTATTATCAGCACTTCTGATGAAATAGATTATGTGTCTACACAAATCCTGACAGACTCTTTACCCCTTTACAACACTCTTCTGCATACTCTTCAAGTTGTAACCTGAAAAACTTTTGTTTAAAAATGTTCAGCTTCCCATGATGCCTATAGGACTGACTGAGTATAGTTTTACGCCGCTTTTAGCAATATTCCAGCAATATCACGGCGGGGGACACCAGAAATGAGCTTCACACACTGTGCCCATGTGGGGAATCGAACCTGGATCTTCGGTGTGATGAGCAAACACCTTAACCATTAGGCTACTCCACTGCCCTGATGCCTATGGGAAGCAACAATTTCTATCAAAAACATTTATGGTAATCAACAATTCCAGTTTCCTGTCTATACAGTGCAGGGCTGTACAAGCCACAGACATATATGTTCAGTACGCTAAGAATAATGATGTATCCCAAGGAATACATTATTATTCATTGGACCAAGTTTTTGACAAGAAGTATGTAGATTCTGTAATAAGAATGCTAATCAATTTTCAAGTGAGTGAGTGAATTAGTATGGCTTTACTCCACTCCTCAAAATTTCTGCATTATCACGACAGGGGACACCAAAAATGGGCTTTCAGTGTGATGGGCAAATATGTCAGTCACTATGCTACCACACCAGATTCGATATCCCACATGGGTACAACCTGTTAAGCCGATTCCATTTCTGGTGTCCCTTACTGTGATCTTAGAGAAATAATGCTAAAAGTGCTGTTATTGTGTTAAGCCATACTCACTGTTTTGAAGGTCAAGTTAAAACTAAGATCACCTTGTGAAAGTTCTGGACATAACTAACGCATTGACCCTTTTTGATGAACAATATGATGATGTAACACTTGCAAAGGGACATAACTCATAACATAACCATAACAAATACTCAGTAAAAAAATATGACATTATCTCAAGTTCTTGAAATAACGTGACATTATTTTCACTCCCATGCCGGTACCTATTTAGTTCTCTTGTCCTATCACTTTGTCCATGTTGTACACTTTGTACAAAAATCACAGCAATCTCGTAGCTTATATACAACCAATATCACACTGATGTATCTTGTTGGAATATGTTCTCTATAGGTTGTCAATGACGATGATGCGATGACAAGTGTCAGGCAAATGTCTTGTAGTAAATGACGGCACATATCGATGACACTGCGGCCAATCCCACGAAAGCCAATGCAAGGTTACTGGCTGTCGGTTGAAAGGTCAGCGAAGCGATCTGAAATATGGAAATGAAATGCTTATCAGGCATTGATACACACATTAAAATCATCATCATTATCATCATCACTATCATCATCATCATCATCATCATCAAACACCTGCCAGACAGTTCTTTCTCCAAGTTTTCGAAGGGGTGGAAATCAGATGGACTGTGTTAGGTGCAAAACTCTTTTCACCTTAATGCCCTCCAAAGTCCACACACTTCTGCCTCCAATGCAGGACAGCCTGGATACCAATGGTGCAGAACGATTCTGGAATTGGTCTTAGGAACAAAACCTATTTTACCCTACCGACTTCTGTTTTCATTTCATTTACATCATGTTGTACCAACTTGTGGGAGGAAAGCCCCAAGTGATGCAGATCTGCGATGTTTATCAGTTTGGTGAAACCTTCTAGCATCTGGTGCTGACAAACCAAGAAACACAAAATCTGGAAGCTGGGACCAGAACTCAAGATCATGTTGCTAAGGGAGACAACTCTGCACAGCAAATGCTTAAGACGACCTGCCTGCTATGTCTTTGCTAAAGAGGAACAGTGATTTTCAAAACTTACCCAGCCCCCTTGGTCTGCTATCCATTGTGATATTTTCTCTACAAGGAATACTCTGGCCACAGTTGATATGATCATTCTCAGGAAGTCTGGCACCTGAGTGGTACTGTCCTGCAACACTTTCATCACCATACGGAAACCAAAAGACAGTAAAGCTATCACACGACCCCAGCTCAACCCTCCAGCAATGGTCCTGAAACAATGACAGTACAGGTATCACACGACCCCAGCTCAACCCTCCAGCAATGGTCCTGAAACAATAACAGTAAAGCTATCACACGACCCCAGCTCAACCCTCCAGCAATGGTCCTGAAACAATGACACAGTACAGGTATCACACGACCCCAGCTCAACCCTCCAGCAATGGTCCTGAAACAATGACACAGTACAGGTATCACACGCACCCTCCAGCACCCTGAAACAGCTCAACCCTCCAGCAATGGTCCTGAAACAATGACAGTACAGGTATCACACGACCCCAGCTCAACCCTCCAGCAATGGTCCTGAAACAATGACACAGTACAGGTATCACACCCCAGACCCCCAGCAATGGTCAACCCTCCAGCAATGGTCCTGAAACAATGACACAGTACAGGTATCACACGACCCCAGCTCAACCCTCCAGCAATGGTCCTGAAACAATAACAGTACAGGTATCACACGACCCCAGCTCAACCCTCCAGCAATGGTCCTGAAACAATAACAGTACAGCTATCACACGACCCCAGCTCAACCCTCCAGCAATGGTCCTGAAACAATGACAGTACAGGTATCACACGACCCCAGCTCAACCCTCCAGCAATGGTCCTGAAACAATAACAGTACAGGTATCACACACGACCCCAGCTCAACCCTCCAGCAATGGTCCTGAAACAATAACAGTACAGGTATCACTGCGACCCCAGCTCAACCCTCCAGCAATGGTCAATGACAGTACCCACGACCCCAGCTCAACCCTCCAGCAATGGTCCTGAAACAATGAAACAATACACAGTACCAGCTCAACCCTCCACAATGGTCCTGACCCCAGCTCAACCCTCAGCTCAACAATCCAGCAATGGTCCTGAAACAATAACAGTACAGGTATCACACGACCCCAGCTCAACCCTCCAGCAATGGTCCTGAAACAACCCTCACACGACCCCAGCTCAACCCTCCAGCAATGGTCCTGAAACAATGACAGGTAGTACAGGTATCACACCCTCCAGCACCCCAGCTCAACCCTCCAGCAATGGTCCTGAAACAATAACAGTACAGGTATCACACGACCCCAGCTCAACCCTCCAGCAATGGTCCTGAAACAATAACAGTACAGGTATCACCCAACCCTCCACCCTGAAACAGCTCAACCCTCAACCCTCCAGCAATGGTCCTGAAACAATAACAGGTATCACCACAGTACAACCCTCCAGCATGGTCTGAAACAATAACAGGTACCCCAGCTCAACCCTCCAGCAATGGTCCTGAAACAATAACAGTACAGGTATCACACCGACCCCAGCTCAACCCTCCAGCAATGGTCCTGAAACAATAACAGTACAGGTATCACACCGCACCCCAGCTCAACCCTCCAGCAATGGTCCTGAAACAATAACAGTACAGGTATCACACGACCCCAGCTCAACCCTCCAGCAATGGTCCTGAAACAATAACAGTACAGGTATCACACGACCCCAGCTCAACCCTCCAGCAATGGTCCTGAAACAATAACAGTACAGGTATCACACGACCCCAGCTCAACCCTCCAGCAATGGTCCTGAAACAATAACAGTACAGGTATCACACGACCCCAGCTCAACCCTCCAGCAATGGTCCTGAAACAATAACAGTACAGGTATCACACGACCCCAGCTCAACCCTCCAGCAATGGTCCTGAAACAATAACAGTACAGGTATCACACGACCCCAGCTCAACCCTCCAGCAATGGTCCTGAAACAATAACAGTACAGGTATCACACCCGACACCAGCGACCCAATAACAGCTCAACCCTCCAGCAATGGTCCTGAAACAATAACAGTACAGGTATCACACGACCCCAGCTCAACCCTCCAGCAATGGTCCTGAAACAATGACACAGTACAGGTATCACACAACCCCAGCTCAACCCTCCAGCAATGGTCCTGAAACAATAACAGTAAAGCTATCACACAACCCCAGCTCAACTCTCCCGCAATGGTCCTGAAACAATGACACAGTACAGGTATCACACGACCCCAGCTCAACCCTCCAGCAATGGTCCTGAAACAATGACACAGTACAGGTATCACACAACCCCAGCTCAACTCTCCAGCAATGGTCCTGAAACAATAACAGTACAGGTATCCCATGACCCCAGCTCAACTCTCCAGCAATGGTCCTGAAACAATAACAGTACAGGTATCACATGACCCCAGCTCAACTCTCCAGCAATGGTCCTGAAACAATGACAGTACAGGTATCACACAACCCCAGCTCAACCCTCCAGCAATGGTCCTGAAACAATAACAGTACAGGTATCACATGACCCCAGCTCAACTCTCCAGCAATGGTCCTGAAACAATGACAGTACAGGTATCACACGACCCCAGCTCAACCCTCCAGCAATGGTCCTGAAACAATAACAGTAAAGCTATCACACGACCCCAGCTCAACCCTCCAGCAATGGTCCTGAAACAATGACAGTACAGGTATCACACAATCCTGAATGCAAATTGGAAAAAATATATATAACTTCCTCAAAATTGGGATTTAAAAATAATATATAATATTTCTGAAATGCAGACATGGTAGAAGTGTTATTATATTCAGCATATTTTTCCTATTAAGGACAATATTGCATTTTCCTCTTTATTGGTTTTGTCAATGAAATACAAGCCAACTTATTACGGAAGTTGAACAGTTTCTACCAACTTGGAGGCCATATATCCGCCACTGATAGACTCAAGTATAATCATGATAATGTCTACACACCCGATGGATATAGAAATAGATATTTCTGAGGCACTTTCTGTCCTGTGTTCATGGAGTCCACTATGATAATTCTCAATATTTGCTTAGCAGTGGGTCAGGATACATTTCAAAACATGAAAATATACCTACTTCTTGGCAACATTTGTAAAAACATCAAAGATGCTGTTTTTGTCTAACTTGAGACTTCGTATCATCCCATCAAACTCGTCAGAAAAACGGTCGTTGATTTCATCTCCTATACGAGCGAGCTGCCTGCCAATCTGAGCGGTAGAGCTGGAAGGACAAGCAAAGGTTATGGCTCAGGGCCTACATTAACTTACGACTAGCTTAGCGATAAGAGAGCTTCGAAAATCTAGGCCCAGGGTGCCGTTGTACAAAGCGATCCTGGCGCTAATGTGACCGTAACTCCCATACCTTAACATAGACATAAGGTAATCTTAACGCTAAGAGAGCTTCGAAAATCTAGGCCCTGGGTGCCGTTGTACAAAGCGATCCTGGCTAATGTTCCCATACCTTAACATAGACATAAGGTAATCTTAAGCTAAGAGAGCTTGAAAATCTAGGCCCTGGGTTGCCGTTGTACAAAAGTTGCCGTTGTGACAAAACGATCCTTAACATAGACATAAGGCTAATGTGACCGTAACTCCCATACCTTAACATAGACATAAGGTAATCTTAGCGCTAAGGTTGTTTTGTACAACGGCACCCTGGTCTACTATATGTTTGTTTGTTCAATGCCAAACTAAGCAATATTCCAGCTACATGATGGCAGCCTGTATATAACCAAGTCAGACATTCCAGTGATCATACAATGTGTGCAAGGAACCATGTTGCTATTGTCCCGTGCTGGGATTGGAGTGAGTGAGTTGGGTTTTACACCACTTTAAGCAATATTCCAGCAATACCACGGCAGGGGACACCAGAAATGTTCTTCACATATTGTACCCATGTAGGGAATAAAACTGGGGTCTTTGGCGTGATGAGTGAACGCTTAACCACTGCTGGGATTTGAACCATGTACCTTCTCACACGAAGTCGGACGCCTTGTCCACATGACCAAAGAGGTTAATCCCATCAGCAAGCTGACCAGGCAAGCTATTCTCGAAATGTTCATAACCCTACGAACTTCTTAAGCCCATTTTTAACACATTGGCTACGATCAAAGTTAGAATTCTTAGGGCTATGAACGTTTCAAGAATAAGGGCCCTGGTAAAAATGTCATCTGGAATGACTCCACGCCATGCTACACTCTAAAGTTTCCGAGTCTGGCCATCCAATCCACATACTCGCTTATGTGGATTAGATGGCCAGACTCGGAATGTAGACTATAATCAAGTCAGACATTCCAGTGAGTGACATTGTGAGCATCCAACCATGCTGTGATGGTAAAATGACATACAATCAACCAAGTTTCTGAGTCTGACCACCCAATCCACATACTTCAGAGTTTAAGTGACATGTAGAAAATGGATGCAGAAAAAAAATCACCGAGTTCAGGGGGATGCACAATAGTATCCATTGTACCGAAAATACATCTATGACTTTGCTAAGCGTTTCGTTGTTTCTTTCAGTCTACATGATCAATGATTCATTCAAAAGATAATCAGAATGTTACTCATCAGATACTGAAACCAAATGCATAATTTCAAAGCACCGTTTCTGTAAATGTTGTTTTTGTCATGTTTCATGCTCTTTGTTCTTTCATTGGTTTACCAAGCTACTACCGAAAACTTACTCCTGATTTTGCTGTACCTTTTGACAGATCTTACTAAGAAAAAGTCCCGATCATCTGCATTGGGAAGCATCACAACAAAATGTGTTTGATATGTTAAAGAGTAAGCTCTCCACTGACCCAATTCTGAAACTTACAGACTTTACAAAGATGTTTTATCTACGAACTGATGCCTCAGATGTGGGGATTGGTTCTATTCTCCTTCAGAAACATGGAGAAGAACTGTTTCCAGTTGCATATGCCAGTAGAAAGTTGTTGTTGTGTGAGAGAAACTGTGGTCATAGAGCGGGAGTATCGGTCTATGAAGAAATTTGGTTCATATCTGTGTGGTCGGTCATTTATTGTTGAAACTGATCATCAGCTGTTGGCATTCCTATCCAAAGTAAAATGCAAGGTTAATGTGGTGGGCTTTGAGTCTACAAGCATGCTGGTATACAGTCAGATGTTTGAAGGGATGTGAGAACCATGGAGCAGATTTTCTGAGTAGGGTTTGATTGCAGAATGGTAGGAACATTCACTTCTAAAAAGCAAATGTGTTAGTATCAAACTATACTATGTTTTCTGTTGAGGGCCTAATGTCACTTTCATGCTCTTTCATGAAAGTTATTTTGTGTGTATTTTAGTAGGGGCGGATGTTGGCCTTAATGTGGAAACATATCTCCCAAACGCACCATTTCATACATGTGGAAAACATGAATTTGGCTCTGAACATCTGCTATATAAAGTCTTGTTAAGCTGAATTAAACACAGCTGAACTTCATACTGTCAAGGCAGACCTATGGAGATGGCCTTTTTTGTGAGTACATTTTTGTTTCTTTAAACAAAGTTAAATTAGTAGATTTATCACTTTGTGTTTCAAGATTAGAAAATATTTGTCTTTGGAAACTTTGAATAGCATTTTAAGTTATTATTTCAAGAATTTTGTTGTGTTAGATGTTTGGCGAGTGTTATGGTTGTCATTAAAGCGATAGATATTTTGTTATTTCAGACTTTAGGAATTACTCCACTTGTGGTTTCCTATAAATTAATTCAAAGAGTTCAGCAAGACTTTAATGCAGTCTTACACTATTCTGGATGAAATGAACAGGCTTTCAACCATGGACTATTTTTTGTAAATGTGAATGTTTTAGCTTGACTAACATATCTTGAAGTTGTCAGGGCCTGAAAAACTTGTTTAATTGTTTCAAAAAGCTCACTTCACTAACTGATGTGACTGAATATCCTTAAGGTCTAACTTTGATTTGTGACAGTTTTACACTCACATCAGCAACATGTTAGACAAATCAGTGGGAAAATCTGATATAATGAACACCAGCTCATATTGTCAGCATATGGTAATTTACAATCAATCTCTTCGCCTAATGTGACCAACTGCCAAATCTAGTCACCTCTCAGTATTTGCTACATCCTCTATTAACTTATAATGCACATGGAGAGGAATATTTCCTTAGAATTGTTATTGCAATGAAACAATATCAAATAACCATGGAAACATGACACTGACCTTGACCACAAGCATGGACACTTGAAATTGGTTATCTGGGAATAAACTGTTAAGGTGACAAAATATAACTTGACCACGAGATTCACCAACATGACCAATAAACATGATAAATGGGATGAATACAGCTTTGTATATTCAACATACCACACTTGTATGTACCTCTCATTTCGATGGCTTTTCAAATGTTGTGATGAGTAAACTATCATTATTACCAAACATGTTGAACATTTATTTTCAAAATCAAATATGACCCGTGAAGGTCTGGGTTAGAATTGGTCTTCAGTAACCCATGCTTGTCGTAAGAGGCGACTAACGGAATTGGGTGGTCAGGCTCGCTGTCTTGGTTGACACATGTCATCGCATGCTCATGATGTTGACCACTGCACTCTGGTCCAGACTCAATTATTTTACAGATCACCACCATATACCTGGAATATTGCTCTGTGCTTTGTAAAACTAAACTTCATCACTCACGAAATCAAACATATTTTCAAATATCAATCATCACATTCATAATCATCAACAAAAGACAAGTATTTATCTTATCTTCCTAATGTCTATCCTTGGATTACCTGACAGGGTCCTGATTCATACTAACAAACTCCTGTATCCTTGGAGTGGAATCGTATTGTTGACGTATTTGAGTCTGGCGGTAACTCTGGTACATAAAGTTCCTAAACACATCCTCAGTCTGTCTCTGAACATTATCCTCTGTATCTGGACGAAGATTCTCGGGCCGCGGCACCTCCGGAATCGCGTATCTTGGTTCACGAGGAGGATGCGAGAAATCATCATCACTGTTTCTGTCACCTCCATTCCAGCTGGCCATTGTAGTTATCTCCCTTGGTCAGCTGATCACATTGCATGCATAAAAATGTAGTATTCTTTGTAGTTTTCCCAATTCTGAAACATATTTGCAGTTCTAGAGATAAAAAAGATCAGTATTTTCCTTATCATGTCTTAAGACATGTCAACATGTCGGCTAGACTAGTGAAAATATACAGGTATTCAGTCTTTTTGCATCTTAAAGAAACATCTTTGCTGCAGTGAGCTAAGGACTACTTTGGAATTGTCCAAAAGTGTATACCAGTATGTATATCAGATAATGTTGATAACAACTTTAATAAGCATGTTAAGGCCAACTGCCAAGGACCCAAATATCTGGTTCAGGTCATTTAAGTTGATTTGATTAAAATAAATCTGATTCAATGTTAAAGCAGAACGTCTACCTAGCAGTAAATTTGCACACTGTCCATGACGCAAAGAGTTGAGCTGAGAAATTGGAAATCATTAATCCTCCTTCCAACAATATATTTAGAATGCCGGCAGTAACATTCATACAGTGAACACTGATGCAGGGCTCCAGATAATTTTTCAACATCAGGAGTACGTACTCCATATTTTTTTACTACAGGAGTACTGGAAAACCTTTAAAGTACTAGTGGAATTTAATGGTGTATCAGTAATCTTGTGTTTCGATTCATATATGCACCACAACATTGATAGTCTTGTGTAAACAGGTCAATAAACAATAAACCAATATATTTTTCAGATAAATACGTCTGTAAATGATTCTATCTAAGACCGTACACCATTGCCGTGGTGCATACCTGCTACGTTTCCTAAATTATTTGCTACCGTATCGTGCATATTTTGTACCCGTACATACACCGATACGGCCCTTATCGGGAGCCCTGCTGATGCGAAGCTACAATAGTGGACACTTTCTGCCATATTGTCAACTACTGAAATGTGTAAAAGTTCTTTCCTTTAAGTTGGGAAGTTTCTCAGATTTTAGCTGTATCCATAAAACGACAAGGGGTTGTCCCCCAACACAAAAAACTCCAACAAATACCACCTACTTTAATGTCATTTTTAGTTTCCAAACTATCGTAAATGTTATACAGATTATGGATATATGTTTGTTGAAATGTGTCCCTGATTATTAGCAAGGGGGTTAGTGCCTGAAAATTATTGAATGTCTATTTTCTAGTAATGTTGCTATGCTGATGTTTATAACTTGCCTTGGTTAAACCTAAGGTTAATCATACTTAACATGGTGAGGTGAGGTGAGGTGAGGTGAGGTGAGGTGAGGTGAGGTGAGATGAGATTGGGTTTAACGTCGTGCTTGAGAATATTTCACTCATATGACGACGTGCATGCGTGTGTATGTGTGGCTGCTTGTACCAGCCCAGACTTAAGCTGGTTTTATAGTGCTAGCTCACTGACATACCATGCTGCAGTGAAGCATGAACACCCCACTCAGACACAGTATACTGACTCCGAACCGACCAGTCCTTGTTGTACCCATTAAATTGATTAATGCCGAGCGCCAGGCAGGGACCGACAAGTACCATATTAACGTCTTTTGGTATGACATGGTTGGGTATCGAACCAGCGATCTTCCGCTCTCTGGGTGGACGCTCTAACCACTACACCACGGAGGCGGTCCTTAACATGCTGAACCATACAAATGCAAGTATAGTCAGTTTGGCTTTTACAGCCCTCTTCTGAAAAATAGGAATCATTATGTGCTGCTGTGCTCATAGTACCCAACTGACATGGCAGTTGGTGTCCCAAATACAGGAGGAACCGAATGTACACGTTCATGACACTGTACATGTTGCAGCACATGTTGCCTGGCCATAAAGCGTGTTAATGCTGAGAACCACGTTTCACTCCTGATGATGAAATCATTATGATCATAAACATAATATTCCTGTCGACATCTTGTCTGAACATACCAAGTTAAACCAGACGAATAATTGCAAATATGTTAAAAAGAACTAAACCTGTATCTTTCTTGTTAAAATCTTCACATTGTGAAATGTATTGTGTCTCGTAAAGAAAGTATAGTATTATTTCGTGAAAAACTGTGTTAATCGTATGAGTTGAATATTTGTAATGAGCCAGTTAAATATTTCTGTCTTGCACAGAAGCCCGTCAGCGCTGTTTGGTGATGATACAGAATGAAATAGAGAGAGAAACCGCCAACACAAATGCGGTAGTTTGAAACTTGTTCTACGCACCATCCCTGACAACTGGCTAAGTCTTAATTTACTTGAAACACCCTGCAAGTTCACGAAAAATAGAGCATTTTCTCCACCAATTGCACGTTCAAATGTGAGGTAAGCACACAATGTATACAAGAGCTACAAATAACCTCACAAACCTTTTGTTATGATGACCCAACACACCTTTGGCATAGACCGGAAATGGCGTAAGGTTAAATTTTGTTTGACCTAACGTACTTCCGCTGATGCGCTTTCAAATACGTTTGTAGACGAAACCCAGTCCAAACTCCTCACAGGGTGTATGATGCAGAGCAGTGACCGGAGTTGCAGAAATCTACATCAGCTCTGTAAATGGCATAAATTGATTAGTGCCGCCAGAGACCATATATTATATGGTCTCTGGTCACATCGGCATTATTTCAGCCATATAGAGACGAGACCAAGTCTACACACATACAAGTCCATTTTAATAACGAAGATTTAAAGAAATTCTTAACATACGTATTTCTTCATTACAATTAGAACGCCATGACATCAAATTTAGAAACGCAATTTGTCACTCATTGTCACACATGCAGTTTTCCAATTTATGACGCAGACGACAATGAAATACCCGCCCACACAGGTAAACAAATCATTCCAATTTACTGCTTGATAATGTGGAGCCCGTGCATTTTGAAAAGTGCCCACCGTCAAGCAGAATATGCTTGATGGGGCACACTTCATAGCAAGAGACGCACTTCTAAATGAGGTTTATGTCCATCCGCTTTAAGCCGATACAGTAGCCATGAGTAAACCGACTTTGACCAGTACAGCATCATCGTAAAATGACCTCCTTATGTCTTGACTGACAGTACTATATCTCATCGTGCCCGTGGATGGTCTTTCGACGAGGTGATGGAACAGTTTGATCCCTACGATACCCTCGGCAATGAGCGAGTTTAGTTTTACGCCGCACTCAGCAATATTCCAGCTACATGGCGGCGGTCTGTAAATAATCGAGTCTGGACAAACAATCCAGTGATCAACAGCATGAGCATCGATCTGCGCAATTAGGAATCGATGACATGTGTCAACCAAGTGACCACCCGATCCCGGTAGTCGCCTCTTACGACAAGCATGGGTTACTGAAGATTAATATTATAACCCGGACCTTCACGGGTACCCTTGGCAATGAAGACTTTGTAAGACATGTTTCAACCGACACACCTGACACACAGCCTGACAAACACCCATGATCCACAACCCTGCCAAAGGACACAACCTTATCGTCCTGGGCCCAGTTTCACAAAGCTCTCGTAAGCCTAAGGTCTCGTAACTATTCTCGTAGTTATCGTACCTCCTATACTGTAACATTGGCTTACGATAGTCGTAGCGCTACGAGAGCTTTGTGAAACGGGGCCCAGATGTTCTGATGTTACAGTTCACACCGTTTGTAAACAAAAGATCAGGGACGCCCCTAATCCTGCATCTTTTGTCAAGTGTTCTTGTTAGCGAGTGAAATAAAAAGGTGAAAAATGCCAACCTATTATTATTATTATTATTATTGTTTGCATTGGATGCAGCCTTCTGTTGTTCGAGATGGGTGGCCCTGAAAAGGACCGATGTATAGTGAGGGTGTACCTCACAGGGACCACACTTGAGTCATACACTGACACGGATGGATGATTATCTTCGTCAGCTCCCATGTGTCAATCGGCGAACATAAGTATCCTTCAGTCTGGTACCACAATAAACACAAAGGGTACCATTATAAGAACCTCCTCTGCATTATTGGCACTGCCATGCAGGCAATAATGCTGAGGGTGAGGGTGTTGGTGGCGGCTCCAAGGCCATCAGTTCTTCATCCCAGCTTTCTTCCATGTTGACAGTTGAAACGGATGGTGGCTTTAGTATAATGTCGTTTGTCCCCAGTTTCCTTGTGACATGGTGTGACAGCACTGCCATGTCTCTCTCTCTCATGATGGACAGCTCAGCAAATCAAAGGACATGCATGGCGTCACCACCTCACGCTCGACCATGACGTCACCACCCTCACGCGCGATCATGACGTCATCAGAGCCCATGCATTTGTAAAGTCCACAGTGACACTCAAGCAGAATATGCTATTGGTGAACATGAGATGCACTTTTGAAGTCGCTTTCGTATTCAAGTAAGCGGCCATAAAATCATAATCTGGAACTGCCAAGTGCAGAGAGCGAAACTCCTCTTTGCGATGCATTGATGGTATCTCAGTGTGCTAGTATACTGAACCACAAAAGAAACGTCGCTTTTCAAAACCAAACACAAGATTTTGTTCTTACAAAACGGTGTTTTTATTATTTTATCGTTTTGTTAACATGTTTTTCAATCCAAATTGACAGTTATTACCAACATCAGTGTGTTTTCTGATGAAAAAGGATATCGACCAAACGCACCTAAAAATGCAACCGTGGTAAAAGGTTCCGTATGACATTCATGAAAATGAAAATGCACGTGCAAACCATGACAACCCTACCAATGAAAGCGAGTACCAAACTCGCCTGAAATCATTTTTGCTTTGACACCATCGCCATGGCATGACTTACGAGAGATCAGAGGAACCAAGCCTTGTGACGATTGCAAGTGGGCCAGACTGCATGAAGGGTAGCAAATCATTTTTGTTTATGTTGGGACAATCTACCGACTGCAGGAGCAGTATCAGGTCACTAACAGCATCCAAGACCTTCCACGCAGTGGGCGACCTTTAGTAACATCACAACGTCAATACCGACAGATTGTGCGCCACCATTTCCAGGATCGCTTCACCAGAGCGACCTAAACAGCACAGCAGACCATTAGGACTCACAACAGACCCATCAGTGCCGACACAGTGCGTCGACGTTTGCGCTGAAGAAACCTCGGCTATCACAGACCTTATCGTAGTCCTGTCCTCATCGCTAATCAAACCTAAACCGACGGAAATGGGCAACTCAGCATCGAAATTGGCTTTATCGACGATGGAGAACTGTGCGTTTTTCTCACGAAAGCCGATATTGTGGTTCGACAGTCGATGGCAGAGTGAGAGTATGGTGAAGGTGCACTGTTTCCCAATCAGTTTATTGTTGAGACTCATGGGGTGGTCCAAGCATCATGGTGTGGGGTGCAATCGATCTGAACCAGATATAGATGGCACCGTGGTGTTTCAGAATTTCGGTCCAGGATGAAGAAATGACGTGACAGCTGCTCGCTACATTGACCAAGTCATAAGACCCCACGTTGTACCACATTTTGGACATTACTGGAATCGCATCTTCAAGCAAGACAACGCTCGTGCCCACACTGGCAGAGTAAAATTGGACTTCCTAAGACAACATGGCATCCAGATCATACAATAGCCTGCACTCAGTCTGGATTTGAGTCCAATAGAACACCTTTGGGACGAGATTCAAAGAAGACTCCATCCAAGGCCGACAACTGCTGCTGGACTCGATGAGGCATTTCATAGATTATGGACCCAAGTGCCTATGGCCTTCACCAACCGGCTAATTCATTCCATGTATAGACGATGCAACGCTTTTATCGATGCGCGTGGAGGGCCACACACAATGTTTACTGACTTTGGAGTATCTTAATGGTGATTTTTGGTGATTTGTTTGTGTGAACTCTAAATGTGATTCCCAAAATTGTGTTAACCATAATTGTCAAGTTTGAACTCAATCCTCCGTTTTGACTGTAGATTAGAGTGAATTAAAGTGTGTGCTTTCAGAAACAGGTATTGGTGCGACATTTCCTTTGTGGTTCAGTATATATACTGAGAGAAACAAATAAAGGATCACAGTAAAATGCAAGTGTTCCTTTAATATTTTTCAGTTTTCATCAGCACAGCACTATTCAAGGCTGGTGATGAAAACTGGAAAATAATAAAGGAACGCTTGGATTTTCATGTGATCCTTTATTTGTTTCTCTCAGTATATATGTAGGCGATGAAAAACACAACTATAACTTTTGTTCTAAAGCTTCAGATTTCTGTGATTCAGATAAGGCATCCTGGCTTTTTTGCACTTTATTTTAAAATGAAGAGAAACTGGACACGGAAATGTGTTGGTGTTTTAGTAACCTGTTCATGTGTTGCTGTTTTAGTAATCGTTCGTTCTTATATAGCAAGTCACCTGTCTCCGAGCAAACCAGTGTTTTTTTATCCTCCTGACTAGCACCAGGCAGTGGCGGTAGCCGTGGGGTAGCCTTGTGGTTAAGGCGTTCGCTCGTCATGCCAAAGACCCGGGTTCGATTACCTACTTGGGTACATGTGTGAAGCCCATTTCTGGTGTCCCCCGCCGTGATATTGCTGGAATATTGCTAAAAGCGGCGTAAACCCCAACCCACTCGCAAGTACCATACAGCTTATTGTACAAGGACCATCTATTTATGTCTTGTGATATGATGCAGTTGAGGATGAAACGGGGGCGGCCGTGAAGGAGCACCAATTTCCGGCGACATGGCATTCGAAGCTCAGACACAGATTACACTGGATCATCGAGGATGTAATAAAACGTACTCACCTCATTGTACATCGTGAAGATCCGGGTTAGAATTTGTCTTCAGCAACCCATGCTTGTCGCGAGAGACGACCGACGAGAGCGGCTGGTCAGGCTCACTGACTTGTTTGATGAATGTCATCGTGCCCCAGTAGCGAAGATAGATGCTCATGATATCTGTCACTGGGCTCACTGGCCCAGATCCGATTTTCTGAAAATGAGGGTGTCTGTTTCGGGTAGTCATGAAAATAAGTCCGGGGATACTACTAGCCACATAAAGAAACTGTGCATTGTCAAAATATTATCCCAGTTGATAGTACGATAACAATGTCAAAGGTACATATAAACTTTAATGGAGGGATCATGAGACCATAACAAGTCGGGAGGATTTCAATTGAAAAGTCAATCACAATGACGTCACGAGTCCACAAGCGGGACAGGGGTCAAACGACCATGTCACAAGCTCAATAACGGGTATGTCCTCCATCGGCATTGAGAACAGCAGTGCATCGACGACGCATAGAGCCTGTTGCAAGGTCAAGGACGTTATCTGGAGGATGAGGAAGACGGCGTAGACGTCGATCCATCTCGTCCCAAATATACTCTATCGGGGAGAG